ACATCTGACATGGCATATCTGGCATGTATGGCCTCCGCTGTATCACTCGTGGCAGTCTTTTTGAAAATATTTACTATAGTATAATAATAATAATAATAATAATAATGTAAAATGTTTTGTATGTGATTTCCTCTGTCTGCTCCAGTATTTGCTTTTCTCAGCTTCATCATTTGCTTCTGAATTTGGGTGAACATTGAAGCAGCGTCAGTAGCTCAAACTCAGCTGTCATTCAGAGCAACAAATACATTCTCATTGCTTATCCACCAACTTAGCATAGCTTATTGACTTTCTTGACCGATATCAGCGTTGTCTGGTCATATAAATGTGTAGGTGATGTTGTTGCGCCCCCTTGCTAAATTACAGCACATGACAGGTGGAGCCTGCCCTGGAGTCGACGCCTCTGTTTCAGGATTTGTAGGTGCTCATTAGAAACTATTTACGACCTAGCAGGAAATGCTAACTGTGCATATCAGTTAATTTCACTTAATTTATTATCCTGATGTTGATGTTTAAGATGAGCTAACATTTTTATTAACGCCACATGGGAATTTTATACCACCTAGACAGTATTAGTAAATATTTAAACAGAGAAATAACAAATAAAAGAGCGTAAGAGTGTATAAAACCCTAGAAAAATGACAAATAAAGGAGTGTGAGTGTATAAAACCCTAGAAAAATGACAAATAAAGGAGCGTAAGAGTGTATAAAACCCTAGAAAATGATAAATAAAAGAGCGTGAGTGTATAAAACCCCAGAAAAATGACAAATAAAGGAGCGTAAGAGTGTATAAAACCCTAGAAAATGACAAATAAAAGAGCGTGAGTGTATAAAACCCCAGAAAAATGACAAATAAAAGAGCATAAGAGTGTATAAAACCCTAGAAAATGACAAATAAAACAGCATGAGTGTATAAAACCCTAGAAAAATGACAAATAAAAGAGCGTAAGAGTGTATAAAACCCTAGAAAATGACAAATAAAACAGCGTGAGTGTATAAAACCCCAGAAAAATGACAAATAAAGGAGCGTAAGAGTGTATAAAACCCTAGAAAATGACAAATAAAAGAGCGTGAGTGTATAAAACCCCAGAAAAATGACAAATAAAGGAGCATAAGAGTGTATAAAACCCTAGAAAATGATAAATAAAAGAGCGTGAGTGTATAAAACCCCAGAAAAATGACAAATAAAGGAGCGTAAGAGTGTATAAAACCCTAGAAAATGACAAATAAAAGAGCGTGAGTGTATAAAACCCCAGAAAAATGACAAATAAAAGAGCGTAAGAGTGTATAAAACCCTAGAAAATGACAAATAAAACAGCGTGAGTGTATAAAACCCTAGAAAAATGACAAATAAAGGAGCATAAGAGTGTATAAAACCCTAGAAAATGACAAATAAAACAGCGTGAGTGTATAAAACCCCAGAAAAATGACAAATAAAAGAGCGTAAGAGTGTATAAAACCCTAGAAAATGACAAATAAAAGAGCGTGAGTGTATAAAACCCCAGAAAAATGACAAATAAAAGGAGCGTAAGAGTGTATAAAACCCTAGAAAATGACAAATAAAAGAGCGTGAGTGTATAAAACCCCAGAAAAATGACAAATAAAAGAGCGTAAGAGTGTATAAAACCCTAGAAAATGACAAATAAAAGAGCGTGAGTGTATAAAACCCTAGAAAAATGACAAATAAAAGAGCGTAAGAGTGTATAAAACCCTAGAAAATGACAAATAAAAGAGCGTGAGTGTATAAAACCCCAGAAAAATGACAAATAAAGGAGCGTAAGAGTGTATAAAACCCTAGAAAATGACAAAGAGCGTGAGTGTATAAAACCCCAGAAAAATGACAAATAAAAGAGCGTGAGTGTATAAAACCCCAGAAAAATGACAAATAAAAGAGCGTAAGAGTGTATAAAACCCTAGAAAATGACAAATAAAAGAGCGTGAGTGTATAAAACCCCAGAAAAATGACAAATAAAAGAGCGTAAGGGTGTATAAAACCCTAGAAAATGACAAATAAAAGAGCGTGAGTGTATAAAACCCCAGAAAAATGACAAATAAAAGAGCGTAAGAGTGTATAAAACCCTAGAAAATGACAAATAAAAGAGCGTGAGTGTATAAAACCCCAGAAAAATGACAAATAAAAGAGCGTAAGAGTGTATAAAACCCTAGAAAATGACAAATAAAAGAGCGTGAGTGTATAAAACCCCAGAAAAATGACAAATAAAAGAGCGTAAGAGTGTATAAAACCCCAGAAAAATGACAAATAAAGGAGCGTAAGAGTGTATAAAACCCCAGAAAAATGACAAATAAAGGAGCGTAAGAGTGTATAAAACCCTAGAAAATGACAAATAAAGAAGCGTAAGAGTGTATAAAACCCTAGAAAATGACAAATAAAGAAGCGTAAGAGTGTATAAAACCCTAGAAAATGACAAATAAAAGAGTGTGAGTGTATAAAACCCCAGAAAAATGACAAATAAAAGAGCGTAAGAGTGTATAAAACCCTAGAAAATGACAAATAAAGGAGCGTAAGAGTGTATAAAACCCTAGAAAATGACAAATAAAACAGCGTGAGTGTATAAAACCCCAGAAAAATGACAAATAAAAGAGCGTAAGAGTGTATAAAACCCCAGAAAAATGACAAATAAAAGAGTGTGAGTGTATAAAACCCCAGAAAAATGACAAATAAAAGAGCGTAAGAGTGTATAAAACCCCAGAAAAATGACAAATAAAAGAGTGTGAGTGTATAAAACTCCAGAAAAATGACAAATAAAAGAGCGCAAGAGTGTATAAAACCCTAGAAAATGACAAATAAAAGAGTAAGAGTGTATAAAACCCTAGAATATGTATGTAAGGTTCTGATGTACACGTTCTCAGACAGTGCAAAAATATACCAGATGTGCAGATGAAGTGAAGATTAAAGGATGTATTAATATACAGATGTACTAAAGTTGTACAGATGTGCTCAAATGTCTGATGCAGAGAGGCTGATGTGCACTGAACATTATTACTATGCAGATATACAAGATACAGACAACTGCATTACAGAGCTGGTGAACATGTATACATACATGTATCATAATTCTGATTAAGTAATTATAAACATAATATAACAGGACTGTGCATCTGTATCATAGCACTTTATTAGGAACACCTCCTTGTTTCTACACTCACTGTCTATTTTATCAGCTCAACTGACCATATAGTTTCACTCTGTAGTTCTACAGTTACAGACTGTAGTTTCTCTGATACTTTGTTACCCTGTTCTTCAGTGGTCAGGACCCCCATGGACCCTCACAGAGCAGGTACTATTTGGGTGGTGGATCATTCTCAGCACTGCAGTGACACTGACGTGGTGGTGGTGTGTTAGTGTGTGTTGTGCTGGTCTGAGTGGATCAGACACAGCAGTGCTGCTGGAGGTTTCAAACACTGTGTCCACTCACTGTCCACTCTATTACACACTCCTACCGTGTTGGTCCACCTTGTAGATGTAAAGTCAGAGACGATAGTCTTAATTCTTGCTAATTTACTGTCTAATGATTTGTTGTTAAGACCATTAAAAGCTTGTTGTTTGGCCATTTTGGGCGTGGCTCTTGTATTTTACACAGGAGTGCAGTGTGTTCACATTAATAAAGTTTCATATTTTACCATTGACTCCTCGGTCTACAGTCAATATATGGAAGCAAGGAATGTTTTATTCATTTATATATATATCGATCTTAAAGGCACAGCAGGCTGTTTAATTGTGAGGGATGAAGAGAGTTTGGAAAACAGCCATATCGAGATTATAGAGATGAATTATGACTGAATGTATATTTACATATACAGGAAATCGGATGTAGGGATATGGGCCCTCATGTATATGTGTGTATTTACATAAGTAATGTGTGTATATATATATATATATATATATATATATATATATACATACACACATATATCTATCTATATATATATATTCATATACACAAAAAGAGGCATATTTTTTTAAAAAACAATAAAATTTCTCAGTTTCGACATTTGATATGTTGTCTTTGTAGTATTTTCTTTTAAAAAAATATGATTTACTTGATTTGCATATTGCATCCTTTTTTTATTTACATTCTGCAGGGCGTCCCAACTTTTTTGGAAATAGGGTTTTACATACATACATACATACATACATACATATATATATATATATGTATATATTGTATATTATTTTGTCTTTTTCACCATAAAAATATTGTCCCCCAAGACAAAACCCCTGGGACAAGGTGTCGACTGTCCAGTCAAAGTCTAGAAATGAATTACAAAACTGACTGTATTCATATCCAGGATTTAAGAGGACTCCAGTGTGTTTATGCAGTTGTTGTTTTTTAACAGTAGGGTGCGCTGTTTTGAGAAAACTTTAGGCACTATAGAGAAGGAACATTTCCAGATATGAGTATGAAAAATGTGTGGGTTTTTTTTCCATTGTATTTTTTATTAGGCAGTGCTTAAGTTACTGCTCTTACCGACCGTATATGCCTGACTGAAAGTCCCGTTTTCCTGCTGTGAAAATGTTCGGTAGTTCAAATTCGGGTCCTTTTGTCCTTGAATTACACTGAAAGGTCCTTTCTGATGTAGACTCCTGAAAAAAGCAGGACTTTTGGGATTTTACGTCATGGGTATTTACCCGTTTGACAGCGTACCACCTGTTTTTGTTTAATCCAGGTTTTTCATCCCGTCCTGCTCCGTCACTCTCGCAATGAAAAATCATTCAGCAGATATTCCAGGCTTCTGTTATAGGCAGTCTGATGTGTTTTGTATTTTAGTATCGTTTTCTGTGTGTCGGGGCTTCGTGAATTGTTTCATTTGGGAGTTTTTTATTGTTTATGAGAGTAAATGAAGTCGTCATCGTTGTTAACCATGGACGAGGGGTTTAAAGGTACGGAGCGAATGAGCGTTCTCATGACTTCAGTGTTGGAAGTTGTGTTTGCTGCTGTCTGACTGAGCGTGCTTTTCCTCTGTTTGTGTTTGTTTTGCAGGGCTGAGGTTTTTGAGAGCCTTAAGATTGATACAGTTCTCAGAAATATTGCAGTTTTTAAATATCTTAAAGACAAGGTAAGTCTGCTTTACACTTTTTAACTCCACACGTTTTGATTCATTATTCTTCATTGAGGTGCCAGCTCTTTTTCACAATACGTGAACATGACAAGCCGTATTCATTCATATTACTTTATACTGTACATTTATTTATATTAAGTGTTTATTGGGCTTTTATTTGAGGAACTGGTTTATTTTCACTTAATTATAGTTTACATATCATCAGTAATCTTACAGTAACGCTGGACACTGGGATCACCTTATCTGTTTCATTCAGTATAAAAGATGTATTAATGTTAAATAAGCCCTGGCTCCACTTAGATAACATGATTTTAGTCTTTATAGACGTCCACTCCCATTTTTTAATTTGACCATAATGGACAGAACTCTGTTAGAGTCCCAAGGGCTTGGAATTAAAGCTGCGGCACAGATGTCAGGAAGGGCTTACAGCTCAGCTGAATGTTTCTCTGTAATCTCCTGACAATGCACTCTGCTGGGGGCACAGGGGGTCAGTGAGTGGACGGTAGAAAGCAACATGAGGCCTCACAATTAGATGCTACCAGCACAAAATAGTGTTTTTCTGTTCTGCAGTGAGGCTTCCTCAATAAAAACAGTCTGGCAGAGCTTCTATGCCCATTTTATTAGAAACACCGTCCTTCTGCGTCCACTAACTGGCCACTTTATTAGAAACACCTACCTTCTGCGTCCACTAACTGGCCACTTTATTAGAAACACCTACCTTCTGCGTCCACTCACTGGCCACTTTATTAGAAACACCTACCTTGTGCTTCCATTGACTGGCCACTTTATTAGAAACACCTACCTTGTGCGCCCACTCACTGGCCACTTTATTAGAAACACCTACCTTGTGCTTCCACTCACTGCCCATTTTATTAGAAACACCTACCTTCTGCTTCCACTTACTGGCCACTTTATTAGAAACACCTACCTTCTGCGTCCACTAACTGGCCACTTTATTAGAAACACCTACCTTCCGTTTCCACTCACTGACCACTTTATTAGAAACACCTACCTTCTGCGTCCACTCACTGGCCACTTTATTAGAAACACCTACCCTGTGCTTCCACTCACTGCCCATTTTATTAGAAACACCTACCTTCTGCATCTACTCACTGGCCACTTTATTAGAAACACCTACCTTCCGTTTCCACTCACTGACCACTTTATTAGAAACATCTACCTTACAGGTCCACTATATACGTGTACAGTAACTGACTTTAGCCCCCATTCATCACTGGTCAGTTTCTGGACTGCTGTTTCTGACAAAGTGGCCGGAAAGCGTGTATAATTGCTTAGTGGTTTATTATGCAATCATCAATCAATCATCTCAGTGAACTCATGTACTAGGACACAAAAGATGTTTGAATATTGCAGTAAATTAATCTCTCCACATTTTGTGTGATGAATTTTGTTTTCTGCAGCAATTCAATAAAGCTGGTGAACTTGTGCTCAATCTTCATAAGCACATGGCTAACTGCCGCAGGCTTCATACACTTGGTAAGTTCATTATAAAAGTACGTATATGTGTTCATTAACTTTCACACTGTGATTTGAGAAATACCGGTTTAAGCGTAGTTCAGATAACACTCAGGTCTAGAGGTACTGCTGTCATTTTTCTGTCACCTTTAAATGGAATTATCTAATTACATAATTAATTATGTGCTGTTATGTTTTCACATGATCTACATTCTGTATTGACAGATTAATCTTCAGTGTAAAAAAGTGACAAAAATTGACAAAATTTTTTATTCTTTCTACAAAACAATATTGTAGCTGTTTCTAAATTTCAAATCATAATGAAAAATCCCCTCTTCTGCGTATAAACATATGAAGCCCCGCTGGTGACGCCCCAGCCATAACTTTCTAAGGCGTGTGAACAGGATCATAATGCTTATCAAGACTTAAATATTCCTTCCTTTTACCTTGGTAAATTGTGGCCACAAATTAATCATAACCTAATTATCTCTAACTATTTAATTATCATAGCTTAAGTATCTCAATCGTACGCCTTGCTAAGTTGTGTCCGCAGCTTATTTATTTTAGTCTCACCCCTTACTAAGTCATGGCCACAACTTAGAGCTAATTAAGTTTTGATAACTTTCTTATACCTTGCCAAGTTGTGGCGACGGGTTACTTATCTTGTTCTTACCCCTTGCTAAATCTTTGCCACAATTTAATTATGTTGTTTTTATGTCTTGCTAAGTCATGGTCACAGCTTGATTATCTCATTCTTATCTCCTACTAAATCACGGCCACAACTTAATTATCTCATTCTTATCTCCTACTAAATCATTGCCACAACTTAATTTTCTCATTCTTAGCTCTTACTAAGTTTTGGCCACAACTTAATTATCATAACTTAATTATCTTGTTCTTGTCTCTTACTAAGTTATGGCCACAACTTAATTATCCTAACTTAATTATCTCGTTCTTATCTCTAACTTAGTCATCGCAACAACTTACTTTTAATAAATTAATTATCTTGTTCTTATCTCTTACTAAGCCATGGCCACAACTTAATTATCTCACTCTTATCTCCTACTAAATCATGGCCACAACTTAATTATCTCATTCTTATCTCCTACTAAATCATGGGCACAACTTAATTATAATAACTTAATTATCTTGTTCTTATCTCTTACTAAGTTATGGCCACAACTTAATTATCATAACTTAATTATCTCATTCTTATCTCTTACTAAGTTGTGGCCACAACTTACATATCATAACTTAATTATCTTGTTCTTATCTCTTACTAAGTTATGGCCACAAATTAATTATCATAACTTAATTATCTCGTTCTTATCTCTTACTTAGTTGTGGCCACAACTTACGTATCATAACTTAACTATCTTAATTATCAATTTGTCAACGAGGCTGTTCATATTGTTGATGTGTATTACAGGTGGAAAACTCAGGGGATCCTTGGGAAAACTTCCAAAATTCCCAGCCACTTTCCTACTGGGAATGTGTGTACTTACTCATGGTAACCATGTCCACGGTGGGCTACGGAGACGTTTGTGCTAAAACGACGCTCGGCCGCCTTTTCATGGTCTTCTTCATCCTCGGTGGATTGGTAAAATACGTCCCGTAACTGTTCTCTCCTAGCTCGCTCTAAAGCCCTGCGGTTCTCATGTCCCCAGCCATCGTATCCTTGAACACCAGAGCTGGACACAGATCCCCTTCATTTGACTCCAGCCCCAGTCCAAACACCCCTGGCTAGTGCTTGCCTGTGTTTTTGCATTGTGTGTTATGATTGTTAACGATTATATAATATATCTCACCCAGTATATCATTAACATTTTTGAACTGACAGATTTTAATACTGTATTTCTAATTGTGTATGCTAAGTGGAACCATCAGCATTTATTAAATGATTTATTTATTAGTTTTAGAATTAAATCTGCGGTTTTAGACGACCCCTCCCAAGTTTTCCCCACCCAAATTCCAACAAACTTACCAAGGGTTGATGAGTCATAGCATAGTCATGATGGTCATGGTCCGCACATCATGCTCATAGGTGGTGAAATAGATGACAAGGTCTCTTATATTTAAAATACTGTAGAAGTAGAAAATGAAAAACATTTATTTGTTAAATTTTATATACTTTTATGGAAGCTTGGATACAAGGGTATATTTGTAATTGACCGATATATCTTAAAGGGACACTCCGGCCAAGATGAAAAATTCAGCCGTCGCTACGTCTGTGGTAAACATGCCTACTCACCTCATAGTGGTCTCTAGAGTGAGACCCAGTTTAAAGACGAGGAAAACCCTCTTCAAATGATGCATCTTGAAGATGGGAGGAACTTTTGAAAAGCTACAGCTACTTTGGGGTGGATTTTTGGGTGCAGGCTGTTGATGCTGAGTTTCTTGTTTAGCTTTCTGCTAGCTGGCTAATGCAGATGTGAAGCTAACGTTGCTGCTTGGAAGCTGAATGTCTTATTGCAGCTGTATAACTGTAGTAACTGTAGTAACTGTTTTCACAATATCATTGCAGTGAAGAGGTTGGATGTAGAATGGACAGCAACAGAAATGACTCATTAGATGATAACGACAGGAAGCTAAAAGCTGAAGATAGCCAGGCTTTGTTTACCTCAGTTTGGCTCCTTTTCTCGCTAAAAGGGTAAAAAGCTAGTTTCTGGTGTCCGTGGTTTCTGGATTGAACTGCTGTTTTCTTTAGGATTTTAGTCGACAACTGAGAAGAATTACACTGATAGCTCAGTGGTATTTATTAGCCCATAGCTCAGTGGCTAGGCTAGCAGTCCTGATTGGTTGACACCACAGGGTTTGTAGTGAGAGGACACTGATGAACAAAAACATGGAAGTCATATTGTAGCGTTCTGCTGCTGACTGGCTCCGGCGTCTGAGACTCTGGAGGCCGGGCTATGCAGACAATGTCATGCAAAGGCTCATGGTAGTGCACGCCCTCAGACAAAGGGACTTGTTTATGTTGTTTAATGTTTGTTGTTGTTAGTTTAAGTTACGCGCATGTGTTACTATGTCAATTTGTGTCAGGAAGTGGGGTTATGGTAGGGGTTTTGTGTGCGAGGGGGTTCCCCATCGGGGTGAAGTGTGTGGCTAGAGGCAAGGCAAGTTTATTTATAGAGCACCTTTCATACACATTCAAACTGCTTTACAAATGAGAAAACACAGAGTAGGAAAATACAGAGTTGTTGGAAAAAAAAAGAGAATAGATATTAAAAACATGATTAAAACAGTAGATTCAAAAGAGAAAATCATTAAAGTAAAAATCAAATTAGAAACTAAATTAGGAAAGTTAAAAAAGTTAGATTTGGATTAAAAAAGTGCCGCTACAGAGGAAATGGGGGCTAGAATTGCTAACAGTGTTTAAACTGAGCTGAAAGCTGCTCTAACAGGACCGTTTTCAGGCTGATTTAAAGTGTCCAGTGTCGGGGCTCTTCTAATGCGCTCTGTCCACTGGGTCCATTTAAGAGCAGCATAGTATCTAAACGCTGCTTCTCCATGTTTAGTCTTCACCTTCGGCAGGACTGACTGACCAGTTACTAATGATCTGAGAGTTCTGCTCGGCTCATATCGCTGTAGCAGGTCAGATAAACACGCTGCTCCTGCACCATTCAGACATTTATAGAGCAGTAACAGCTCCTTAAAGTCTATTCTGAAACTGGTAGCCAGTGTAAAGATTTAAGAATGGGGGTGATCAATCCAGCCAGAAATGAAGGTGTGGATGAGTTTCTGCAGGTCTGCTTTAGTCAGAACATCTCTGATCTTGTTGAGGTGATAAGGGGTGACCCCCTTGAGATCTGTGTTCTGCATATGCCCCTTTCTGTTGGTGTGTTCCATGAAGAGCACTTCTTGTAGCAGATCATGCCTACCTCTGTGTTTCTTCTTCTGCCGACGCTACAAAATAAAAATTTGAATTCTGTCAAATTGAGGTTGAGGTGTGTAATAATGTGCTACACAATACTGTGTAACATGACAAAAAAAACAGATTAAATGCTAATTTAAGGCCGGAATGTCCCTTAAAAGTTCAGTGTATGAACTGAGCACTGCTAACAAGATTAGCCTAAACATTATAAGACTGTAGGTAGTTGTGGAGTTTTAGGGTTTGTTTTGAATGCACGTCGTATATGTACGACTATGTCACATCGGGCAATGCTATCCGCACAACCCTGGCGTAAGCGTTTGTTGGACTAAACATGGCTCTTGAGGTTTTATTCCTCCACTGCATTACTTACAAAGTTTCCCTCTTAAAACACAGAATGACGATCATCTGTGGCTCTCTTTCCCTTCAAAATCAACATCCCTCAAAAGCGAGGGATTTGAACACTTAACGAATGCTTTTCGTTCTTGCATTTTCAAAATACTCCACTCTGCGCTAAACCAGTGCTAACATTTCCCCTCATGAGATGGCTGCAGACACTCTGTGCTCTAATTTAGCGATTAGAAGCCTAGCGGTTTGATCTTCATTACTTGAATCTTTCTTTTTTTTTCTCCTCATATTTTATAAGTATCCTCTATGAAACGTAGAAGCCTTAGCAGACTTCTATTGTCTGTCTGTTTTTTAGTCTCTTCCTCTGTCTCCTGTCCTCTCCTCAGGCCATGTTTGCCAGCTACGTCCCTGAAATCATAGAATTAATAGGAAACCGCAAGAAATATGGTGGTTCCTATAGTGCGGTAAATGGGAGAAAGTAAGTATTGTGCGAATCCCGCCTGCATGCCCCTCTCTCTCTCTGTCTCGTGCATGTAGGCCATGTTTGCTCGCTACGTGCCAGAAATCGCTGCTCTCATCCTTAATCGGAAGAAATACGGAGGGAGTTATAACTCGACCCGAGGCCGAAAGTAAGTCACAGTAACAGAACGAAGAAAGTTTCCTAGCACAACATGATGAAAGGAATCTGTTTTATGCCGGTGGTCCGCACGATATACCATTATTTCAACACAGCCTCAGCTCTACTACCAGCCTGTAATCTGTTAGTTCAATCTAAAATTACATTCTGCCAGACATATAGTAGTTTTATGAGTAGTGCTGTGCTTTTTTACGTTACTAAGTAACCGACTAATTACTTTAGTACAGGGGTGCTCAATCCTGGTCCTGACGATTTACCAACCTGGAGAGTTCAGATCCTACACTGTAAAAAGAGACTCATCAGATCTACTTTAAATATTACTTCATTTGGTAACAAGCTATTAAACTAGTTTTATTCAACTCACAATTTTTTTTCTCGTTTAACAGTGAACATATGATATCACAGCACTGTTTAATGCCAAAACGTTCAGTTTATAAGTACTTTTTGGTCACCAAATCACCACCGAGAGTCATCAGTCTGACGACGCCACTTTTCTCACACTGGGGCTGAATCTCAAACGGCTCCCTGCTCCCTACATAGTGCACTAGCTACGTAGCAATTAAAAACCGACTCTTGCACCCAAACAATGCAAAATACCGCTAAAAATGGTCATTTGGGATTCATCCACATTGATTCTCGACAAGCAGTGCACTTGTTGACTATTTTTTTCTAGCAAAAGCTAGAATTTCTAAATTTAATGTTACATACACACTATTTAGCTAGCTAGGGAGTACGGAGCCATTTGGGATTCAGCCTGAGTTTGATGCGACTTCTGACTGAAATTTGAAGCGTGTAAGACATTCATATGACGTTCTTTAGACTTTATTGCCGTTTTTCAGTGAATCATACCGTAAATACTTTAATTCAAGTCTGTGATATTAATGATGTTGTTGTTTAGGTTGTTGGCTCTTTTAGCCTGTTAGCTAGCTGACCAGCCTAGTTCTAGATAAGAACATAAGTTGTCAGCCCCTCAGTTTAAACAGAACCGGGTTCTTACTTCATCAGTACACTCGATGCTCCGTGCGATCAGCATTAGAGTCAAAGATTAATCCATTAACAGCAGAAGGATACAGAGTTCAGTCACTGTGAGGCGGTCATAGCTGTGGTATATCGTGGATTTTACAACGGATTTTACAGCCAATCAGATTTCAAAACTGGAACTTTATAAAACTAGTTTAGTTTCTTGTTACCACATGAAGTATTTTTTTAAGCAGATCTGACGAGCCACTTTTTACAGTGCAGGGTGGCAGATCTTCAGGACCAGGATTGGCCACCCTTGCTTTGGTACTACTGGGTTACAAAAAATTCAGTCAGTCAGTTCCAAATTTCAATAGTCAGTCTTACCAGCATCAGCCAGTTAACATGATTCCTCCAAAATCGAGACTGCTGATTGGCTAAGTTATGTTCTGTTGTGCGTTACGAGTTTAAACACTTCTTTATTAGTCTGCAATACACTGCGGTCAATAAATATACCCACTTCTATCAGCTCACACTCATAAGCCACACCCACTTTCAGTTTGTAATTTTAAAGAAGGTATCAAAAAAAAAGTCTTGTTCAGGAATCTTTATAGATGTCAAGGTATCAATATTATTATTGATATGCATTTTTTTTAACAACACCCAACCTTAGCTATAGGATATTGCTAACGTTTATCATTCAACATTAACGATATTAAGAAACGATTTCTGGTCTAAAATTAAACTTCTTTATTGTGGCTGATCTAAATATAAGTTGCTTGTATTTAGGAATTTAGGAAAAGATGGTTCTCCAAGGGTTCTTTAGTAAGGAACCTATATAGGTTCTATATAGCATCCAAAAGAGTTCTTCTATTGTTACAGTGTCAAGTTTGTAACAATAAAAGATCCCTTTTGGGTGCTATGTAGAACCCTTTTCAAAAAGGTTCTATATAGAACCATCCACAGCACATTCATTCACATTTTCCATCAATCAGAAGAACACTTTCATAATTCAAAGAACACGTTAATCATGCGAGGTGTTCTCTCAGTGTCCATGGTTCTATATAGAACCATTTTCTTTACTAAGGAACCCTGAAGAACCGTCATTTTTTTAATGTACAATAAGTAGCTAGGCTGTCTGTTTTCAAGCTAATGCTAAAGTTTTAGCCTCAAGGCTCTCAAGAACACCATGTTATCATGTCATGGCAAATCCAATTCACTGTAAACGTTTGCTTTTGCAGTTCTTTAAGTTCTGCAAAAAAGATGGTTCTTCAGTGGTCCTTTAGTAAAGACAATGGTTCTGAATCTGAACCGTTTGCATGCTTTAAGAGTTCTGTGCATCGTGACATAGTTCTCAGATTGATGGAGAATGGGTGGTATATGGTTCTACACAGAACCTTTTTGAAAAGGGTTCTATATAGCACCAAAAATGGTTCTGCTAATCAAGCTTGTACCACTAGAAGAACCATTTTTGTGCTATATAGAACCATATACAACACATTCTCCATCAATCTGAAGAACCATTTCATGATGAAAAAGAACCCTATAAGCATGCAGCTGTTTTTTTTTTTAAAATGCTTATGGTTCCATATAGAACAATTGTCTTTACTAAAGAACACTTTGAAGAACCATCTTTTTTTAACAGTTCAGGTATTAACTGGATAAGTGTGATAAACTCCAAAGTGCTAGATAATATAATAATAATAATAATAATAATAATAATAATAGATAATTTTGGGTATCATGATAGTTCCAAGACAGTTTAACTAAATGACACTGCCAAACAGGTTCTAGGTATTAATTGGACAAGTGTGAGGTACAAACTCCAAAGTGCTGTTTTATTATTATTATTATTTTGGGTAATAAGGGGGAAAGTACCAAGATAGTCTAACTAAATTACACAATAGCTAATTTACCTGTAGAGTTATTTACCCAGCAGGTTGTAGCTATTAAGCAGATAAAGTCCACAGTAAAATGTCTCATAATTGGATAATTATTTGGAGTAACAAGGTGGTGAGTACAAACACACACTACATTTCACTGTTTGGTCAGCCATTTTATCAGCTCCACTTACTATATAGGTGCACTTTGTAGTTCTACAGTTACAGACTGTAGTCCATCTGTTTCTCTGCATACTTTGTTATCCCCCCTTGGTGGTGTGTTAGTGTGTGTTGCGCTGGTCTGAGTGGATCAGACACAGCAGTGCTGCTGGAGTTTTTAAACACCTCAGTGTCACTGCTGGACTGAGAATAGTCCACCAACCAAAACTATCCAGCCAGCAGCGTCCTGTGGGCAGCGTCCTGTGACCACTGATGAAGGACTAGAGGATGACCAACACAAAGTGTGCAGCAGCAGATGAGCTATCGTCTCTGACTTTACATCTACAAGGTGGACCGACAAGGTAGGAGTGTCTAATAGAGTGGACAGTGAGTGGACACAGTGTTTAAAAACTCCAGCAGCACTGCTGTGTCTGATCCACTCAGACCAGCACAACACACACTAACACACCACCACCACGTCAGTGTTACTGCAGTGCTGAGAATGATCCACCACCCAAATAGTACCTGCTCTGTGAGGGTCCATGGGGGTCCTGACCACTGAAGAACAGGGTAAAAGGGGGCTAACAAAGTATCAGAGAAACAGATGGACTACAGTCTGTAACTGTAGAACTACAAAGTGCACCTATATAGTAAGTGGAGCTGATAAAATGGACAATGAGCATAGAAACAAGGAGGTGGTCATAATGTCATGCCTGATTGGTGTATTTCCTGCTTAAACAGTTAATATTACAGTGAAATTTGGGGCAAGTATGTGGTTGCATATCATCTTGTTACTCCAATCATCCATATATGAGATATTTTACTATGTCTTTTATCTACTTAACCCCCTGCCGGTGCTTCCAATTCTGTGTCTGTATCTTTGTGATGATCCAGCACAGAAATCCAGTTCAATCATTTCCTGAATCTGTAGAGTCGCCCTTTCCATTCCATCTTATCACGAGATCATACAAGACTCACATCCGGAGTTATGAGCCTATGAAGAGGGGCTGAGATACACGTCATCTGCCTCTCACTGTGTGGAACTGGTGGATTCATGTGTCCGTCTACATTCTGTGTGAAACTGACCAATGGACACTCAGGAAATCACTAAGGACTGACCATCACGCCGGAAACCCTTCATTCTTCATTCAGTCCACATCAGAGACTCATGTAAAACGGTGTGCAGAGAGTTTACAGCTGCTGAAGCTGCTGCAGCGGTTTTGGAAAGTAGTGATGAAGATAACGGAGCGTTTTGATATGAAACATATGAGGATCATGTTATATGAAGAGACTTTAAAGGAGAGTTTAAGAGGATATGAACAAAACTTTTAAACAAAAGTTCTTTGGAGTTCCTACCTCACACTTATTTGATCACTACCTAGAACTGTAAAAGAAAAGTTACCTTAGGTTTTGGCATTCAGTTTAAAATAATAACTATATTTTTGAGAGTTTTAATAGATATGTAGTTTAATTAAAAATACAACATTTACATTTTTCACCAAATTCCATGGGAATGACATGCATACAGTGCACAAACTTGCGGACCACTGTTTTTTGGTGTGATGCTCTGATTTCGGAGGAAGACGACCGCCTCCCTCTGAACTCAGATGCGGAAACAGCATCCCCTCTTTCTCTGAGGGTCTTGGTAAAACACGGCACAACCATTCCACGCTTATTGTGTCCTGTGTAAGCCACCATCGCTTGCATTGGTCTCATATGAATCTCAAGCTTTTTGTGTTACCTGTGGCTGTTAGTGCTGTATATTATGTCAGATCTGCAGCGTTTGTGTTAGCTTTGTAGTGCTGTATTGAGACAGTTCTGTATGCTTTTCATTAAGAGGTAGTCAGATCTACAGTCATCGGCACCCTTGATAAAGATTAATACAGAAGCTGTGTGAAATAAAACAGTACAGACAAAGGGGAAAATGTACTTCTACCTGTTATAGTTTTCATAAAATGTAAAAAAGCAAAGCATACTTAGTTTCTTTTAATCACACTTTTTTTGGAAAGTCCCCTATAGACTGTCTACAGATGCTCAAATTGTTAGCAAACCATCTGATGAAAATTTAGTTGATTATTAACATGTTTGAGACTAGTTTTAGGTTTTGTGTTGACATTAAGGTTAGGCTTAGGTTCAGCCTTAATACAGTCTTATAGAATAGAGTATTATATTCAGCTCGACTCAAGTTCAGTTGCATTTAGTAGATATCAAGTTGAATGTTGGTTAAAGTTAAAACATCTACAGTGGTACTTTTGTTTTTTAATTAATTCTAGAACAAGATTTTTTTACATTTTTTTGTGTATGTTCTAAATAATTATTTTAAAACTTATTGTAAGAAAGTGCAAACAAGACAGTGAGTTCTAGATCTTCATATTTTGCTTTGTAGATACAGATTCCCACTGTCAATGCAATAGATGATATGCTGTTAAGATTGTTAATTGATAAATAGATATTATGGTTAAAAACATCTTAAATCTCATCAATATGTCTAATATTTCTCCTTACAAGGTTATTATAAAATATTCTAAGATTATTTAACTTATTTCTAGATATATCTTAAGTAATTATATCAAGTAAAAATGTCTTCCATATTCTGTTTTATCTGTTGGCAGGTAATTTTGCTTATTTCTTAAAACAAGTATAATTATCTGCCAAAAAATGACACGTTCACTACATTAAAATACTTCAAACATGTAAAAATACATCTAGAACTAAGTCAAATAATCTTATAATACTCATATAATAACCTCATTATGAGAAATTATATATATATATATATATATATATATATATATATATATAAGATTTAAGATGTTTCAATTGCCAAGATAGAATGCAGTGTATAAGTTTATAGCTAATATAACAGTAGTGCTAGCCAAGTGGAAAACCCAGATGTTTATTATCTGCACACAATGAGGAAGATGCTTAAGGAGGATTGAGGAACCTGTAGGAACCTTTTTGAGTGTTATTGTGTGATAAGATCTAAATTCAGTCACACAAAAAAACAAATAGCATTTATCTTTACTGTCATAAGAAAGCCTTAAATATCTGAAATGGTAACTTTACATCTGTTCCTAGTTTTAACAATTTAAATTCAAATATTCTGAAACAGAAATGTCGAAAATAGAGTTGTCTGTGAAAATGAACATATATAGAAGAGGACTGTGAAGGGGAGAACTCATTGTGATGTGTTGAAACTGTCCAAAGAAAAACAAGTATCTCCAAAATAGTAACTTTACAGGAGAGGACAAAAACACTCTTTACTTTCAATGTAAGTTAATGTGAAGAGATTTTATTCCAAGTGATTTTGGAGCATTTCTGTTGGTCCGTTTTTCATGAAATTTTCACACAACATAAATTACAGCTGGTGTGTTGAAATGATGTAGAAAAATAAAAATTAACAAAAATGGAGATACATGGTTTTCTTTGGACAGCGACGATTTACGCTTTGAAGTTGGTGGTCAACAGTGGACTGTAGTTGCTATTTTGTTGGCCTTTTGGTGTCTCTGATCCTGCTGCCTTTCTTAAGGTCAGTGTCATCATGAAACGTCCTGTTTATGAGGACATTCTGTCTTGAAACAAAATGAATTTTTTTTTGTTGCCATCATTACCTTTACATTAAGGACTGGAATGAAGCCCCATTAGTATGTGGAAAAGTTCTGCTAATGCATTTTGTACTTTTACCACAAATTGAAAGAAAAGTGCTGTTTATCTTTATCCATAACTGAAAAAATATCTGCCTAAATCTACTTTAAACCCTGATTATGAATAGAAGTGCATATTTTGCTGTTTCCCCTTTCTTGTTATCGGTGCAGGTTTATTTTGTACAGCTTTTTGTGCTGATTTAATCATTGTCAAGGGTGCCAATACTTCAAGGATTTGACTGCACATGCCTTTCCCCAGATTACGCTGCTTTTTCTTGGTTGTAATCATTTGTATTTGAGACTTCAGGACAAGATTTTGTTATTACATAATGCAAATATGAATACTTGTTTTTGAACATTTGCTGAGCAGGTAAATGCAAAAACTGAAAAAAGCACCTGTCACATGCAGCAGTAGCTCCTATAGCAGGCTGGCAAATCGTCGTACTGATCGTCATCTAATATGATTCATCCAGTGACGTGAGATCCAGAGCAAATAATTTCATATCAGCAGATGATGAGTTGAATCAGTTTGGTAAAGTGATTGATAGGAAAAAGATGAGTTTATGGGTTGAACAAGTATTCAAATTTGTGGCCTAAATAAGTAAAAAAAAATAGGTTTGTTAATTAATTGTTGAATTCAAAACCAAGTGATTACTTTAAAAATGTAACAGAATGATCTACAGTACTATCATTTTCAGTAATACATTAAGGCCTGTGTGGTTTTCTGGTGCTTTGCCTGGAACAGAAGTCACTTTGCAAAAACAAAAATGTCTGAAGCAACATCAGATTTACCATTTTTTGGCCAAATTAAAGTGAGATTTGCCAAAAAATGATAAATTCTCTCATTCTGTTTAAAGGCTTTAAGTTATATTTTATTGATCAATTTTACATCATTTTTCTACTTAGAATTGGGGCAGCAGTGTAACCATTATCAAATTGGAATTAGGTGTTGTTAGCCTGGTTATATTAGCAGTGTTATGACAATGTTATGATATACTTTAAAAAAATAAATGTTTGTTATTCGTAGTGATGATTTTCAGGTAAGAAGGGTAAAAAATGTAACTGTCTTCTGGATAGTTTTTCTTTCTTTCCCAGTAAGTATTAAGGGATCTTTTATGTCCTTTTAAGGCCTGTGTTATTTTCAGCAGTGTGTCTCATTAACGTTCATAAATTTCATCTCACAGGCATATTGTGGTGTGTGGTCACATCACTCTGGAAAGTGTTTCCAACTTCCTCAAAGACTTCCTTCACAAGGACAGGGATGATGTCAATGTAGAAATTGTTTTTCTCCATAAGTAAGTACATAATATTCCAATAGAGTGAAAGAAAAAAACAGTAGCAAACTTCCTTTAACAGCCCAAATGATATTATAACTTATGAAATTCTTATCTTTTGTGACAAAAAAAACAACTTTTGTAATCTGAGTTGTAAAAAAACAGAATAAACCTTCCTATAGAGTTTTGTCCTCGTAGGGTTACTGTGGGTGTTAGCTGAGGGATTTTATCTCAGATATTGCTCCATAAGCACTGTGGTTAGATCCTGTGATTGCTGTAATAACACATGTCTGTATGCTTTTGTGTTCCTCTCTGCAATAATTTGTTGTCTTTGTGTGTCGTGTCGTAGTATTTCCCCTAATCTTGAGCTGGAAGCCTTATTCAAGCGCCACTTCACTCAGGTGGAATTCTACCAGGGATCCGTCCTAAATCCCCATGACCTAGCAAGAGTCAAGGTGTTTATCAGATAGTACATGCTAACGCTGTTCATGTGTGAGAAATTTGGAAATTTCTGTAAATTGGAATTTTAAATAACCTCAGTCAAACCTTGCATGAACTCCTAACCTGTTTTGCGAAGTTGCAAACCTGCCTTGCAGTGATATTGAGTATCTTCCCCAACATGTTCTACATTTATCATACTGTATGGTCCAACGTGTTCAATATATACATGTTCTGTATATCTATATGTACAGTCGTATGTAAAAGTTTGGGCACCCCGGTTAATTTATGCTTGGTTGATTTTCTAAGTGAAAATAAGTGAACACGTCCTCTAGAAAGAACACACTTCTGCACATTTTAATATGCAATTACTCTTTATTTACTGAATTGAACAAATAGGGGAAAACAAACATAACATGTGGCCTGTGCAATAGTTATAGCACCTTTTTATTGTATGTTTTATTTTTATCCAATATGTTATGCAAATAAATAGAAATTGTGCACTAAAGTTTTTTCCCTGTAGAGGACGTGTTAACTTATTTTCACAAGAACTTGTCATTTCAAATCAGGGTGTTCAAACCTTTATGTACAACTGCATCTATATGTTGAGTATCTATTGTTGACTACCTTCCAAAAGCTTGACTTCTCTCTCTTATCTGCTGATGTAGATTGAATCAGCAGATGCCTGTTTGATTCTAGCCAATAAATATTGTGCAGACCCTGATGCAGAAGATGCGTCAAATATCATGAGGTAAGTAATGCTTCATCACACTGACCGTCTCTTATAAATGACTTAAAAGGAGGAGTTTTTCTCCCGTCTACATCTACACACAGGCAGGTCTTAATCTCTTTCTGCAGGTGCTCTAGTGCAGGGTTTCTCAGCCTGTGGACTACTGCCTCCCCCTGAGTTTAGGCCCGCGGACCACTAGAGGGTGCTTCATGGCCCACCGGTGGTCCGCGGGCCTGATCTCAGGGGGAGGCAGTAGTTCGCAGTGGGCCAGTAGTGACGTATAAATGAAAACACCACAGTCGCAGGCTAATTAAATGTCATCAGTCTGAGACAACGCAGACGTCGGCACTCAGCACAGACAGTCAGAGATTAAAAGGTTTCTCAGGGTGTTTCTCCTACCTTGTTCGGTGCCGACTGATCAAACGTTTCTCTATACTTCGCTCTGTTTTGATGTGTGTCAACACTGTATCAGACAGCTGTACCGGTCCGGCAAAACCTGCGGAACTTGATCTGCTTCAGACCGAACCCTGTTCAGTTCATGGCTGGTGGGACGCATTTTATGATTACATAAAGGAATTCATGAACAGAGCTGACTTTCCTTTTCTTCTATCAGCACATCAGCACTATCAGCATAATCTGCCTGTTTAACGTCTGACTCTTTACACACTCTGATTGCTCTCATATCGTTCCTGCAGCTCGAGCTGCAGCTGATAAAAAACGACAGACGAGCCTTGAAATAATAGCGAAGATCTGCGTTTGATTTCTGGCCGAACATGGCCAGAACAGGAGGAAGTCGCAATATATGCCTGCTGATAAAGGGGTTAATGGTGCACCGTTCACTCCAACTGATTTCCTTGTGTTTTCCCACAGAGTGATTTCTATCAAGAACTACCATCCAAAGATCCGAATCATCACGCAGATGCTCCAGTATCACAACAAGGTGAGACGTGTAACTACACAAAAGAGTGTCTGGTGTCTTAATTTGTTAATAGACTGAAACGGATTTTCAGGTTTTACTGCACAAGCTAAACAACACATTCATACACAACATACTCCCTCAATCTGTGTCCGTAGAATATATGCTGATTGGTTAGCATTGCTGCTACTGAGTGCTGATTGGTTAGCATTACTGCTACTGAGAGCTGATTGGTTAGCATTACTGCCACTGAATGCTGATTGGTTAGCATTACTGCTACTGAGTGCTGATTTGTTAGCATTACTGCTTTTGAGTGCTGATTGGTTAGCATTACTGCTACTGAATGCTGATTGTTAGCATTATTGCTACTGAGTGCTGATTGGTTAGCATTACTGCTACTGAGTGCTGATTGGTTAGCATTACTTCTACTGAGTGCTGATTTGTTAGCATTACTGCTACTGAGCGCTGATTGGTTAGCATTACTGTTACTGAGCGCTGATTGGTTAGCATTACTGCTACTGAGCGCTGATTGGTTAGCATTACTGCTACTGAGTACTAATTTGTTAGCATTACTGTTACTGAGTGCTGATTGGTTAGCATTACTGCTATTGAGTGCTGATTGGTTCGCAATCACTAATGCCATGAATGTACGTAAGAAACTGTTAGAAAATCCTGTAACTGGAGTTCTGCTCAAGTGTTTTATGCTGTTCTTCGTTGTGTTTTTCTGTATTAAAATGATTAAGCATTTACAGACTTTTGTACAAAATCTCCATAGGAACCCATTCATTTCAGACGTTAGCGTTAGACAAACCTGGATGACACAACTCAGTGTCATTAGAAATTGATCACTGTCTGACCGTACTTGCAAATGAGCCGATTTGAAGTAGGCATGTTGGATATTTTTAGCATAATCAAGTTGTTTATCTGTTACATTCTATATATTTTAAAGTAGGACTGGACGATATGGCAAAAACATGACATCATGATATTTCAAGACATTTTCAAGATGATATGCACTGTGCATTTTCTGTGGTTTGATAAGTTGCAGTTGACAAAAAAGCCCCAGTAGAGCCACATTTTAAAGACTGTCAAAACTAAGAATACAGGGATTTGTATTCCATGTTTGAATAATTTGAATAATTTATCTCAATTATGGTAAATGCCATCATATTGCCCACCCCTCCTTAAAACCACCACAGAATTTGTGTTTAGTGTACGATTGCGTATGTGTCCATGTATAGATATTGGGTGCTAAGTGTCGCTTTGTTCCCAGGCTCACCTGCTGAACATCCCAAGCTGGAACTGGAAGGAGGGTGATGATGCAATCTGCCTGGCCGAGCTGAAGCTAGGCTTCATCGCCCAAAGCTGCTTGGCCCAGGGCCTGTCCACCATGCTGGCCAACCTCTTCTCCATGAGGTCATTCATTAAGGTAACACCATTTCTTCATGAGAGCTTATATCAAACTGCGAACATTAAAACATATTAAACGCCGCGTTCACGGCCCAGTTTATTAATTTATTACTTTATTTATTTAACTGTTGTATAAAAGCAATAGAACACTCGAGGAGTGTGTTATCACCAATAACATCACGGCTGTGATGATCTACGGCGACCAAATCACAGCCGTGATCTTATTTCGCGATAACACAACCTCGAGTGTTCTACTGGTTAAGTTAGCTATGCAGTTAGTTATATACATAATTACACAATGAGTGTGTTTACATGCACTTACTAACTGCAGAAAATGAGATTTTGTCAGTAATCCAATGAATCCAATTACATGTACTTGTGTGATCAGATAATTTAAAATTTCAGGTCTACATGAGTCACACAGTAATCAGATTTTTGCTTTGCAGCCAGCCAATAAACTCACAGATGATGACGTGATGTAAACATAATCTAAAACTCAAACTTCATGGCGCAGCTTTTTTTTTTTTTTTAAACATGGCGCCACTTTACCTGAAAATATGAACATACATCATCTAGAAGATGAAGAATTTTTAAATCCTTAATTTCATCAAGTATAGTTGGTTTCAGCGTCGCTCCGAAAGTGTTCTGCTGTGAGCACAATAAGTGCTCGCTTATTTCCGGTACTGTGGTCTGTTTTCGCACAGAAAACGAAAGAAATCAGAGTAAGAGTTTACATGCACTGAGAAATCTGATTACTGAGCTAAAATCCAGCCTCTTTATCGGATTTCTTAATCAGATTTCTAGACCATACCCTGATCTAAGAAATCAGAGTGTGCTGTTTACATGACCATTTGAATAATCAGATAACTGCAGAAATCCGATTACGATCGGATTATTGAGTGCATGTAAACGCTCTCAGTGGGAATGCATTATACTTGTGGAAGGTGAACCTGAAATGTATGAGCGTTAAAATTTTTGGTTAATGTCTGAGTCTCTGAACTGTCTATCAGATTGAGGAGGACACGTGGCAGAAGTATTACCTGGAAGGAGTAGCCAATGAAATGTACACAGAGTATCTGTCCAGTGCCTTTGTGGGTTTATCTTTCCCTGTGGTTTGTGAGTAAGTACTGTACTGTATTGTACTGTATTACGTTATCATAGATATTATATTACCTTCACAAGACGTTACATATGGGCACCTTCTCTTTGGACGTGTCTGATGTTTTCCTTGCAGACTCTGCTATGTGAAGCTGAAGCTCCTGTTGATCGCCATTGAGTATAAGTCTGATCAGAGAGAGAGCAGGTGAGCTTGTTCCAACAAACAAACAACAAAGGGTCATGTAAAAGTGAATTATGACTGTTTTGCTGTACAGTTTATCAGCCCCTCTACTCCATTCATCACTGGTCAGTTTCTGACCACAGGACCACTGTTGTCCAGATATTATTTGGGTGGTGATCCATTCTCAGCTCAGCAGTGACACTGACATGGTAATGTGTGTGTGGAGGTGGTACGAGTGTCAAACACAGCGGTGGTACTGGAGTCTTTACACACATCAGTGTTGCTAGGTTGAGAGTGGACGTCCACCCAAAAATATCCAGACAAGAGCAGCTCTGGACTAGAGTATGACCAACAAGGAGGAGCTACAGAAAAGGGGTTTATGATAAAGTGGCCGACAGTTTCACTTGTGCTACTAAAGTGCTGCCAGGTGGACTGAACTGAAACTTCGTCCAACATAGCAACAGTAACTAAGGGAGGTGGAACAACAGAATTTCGCCAATGGTCAATAAAGCTTTTTTAAAGGGCCCATATCCTACATTTTTCTGGAATTTTATTTCTTCCCCTGAGGTCCACTTATGGCATCTGTGTAGGTTCATGTACCAAAAAACAGTCATAAATAAGTGTAAGATGTACAGTGACAGGCCTGGCAGGGTTAATATAATTTTAATTTTATTTTAATAATTTTAAAACTTGCCACCCAATCATAGAAATTGGCACCCCTGGTCAAATTCCATGTTGTTGTTGATTTTCTAAGTGTGAATAAGTGAACACATCCTCTACAGAGAACACACTTCTGTACATTTTAATACACAATCACCGTTTATTTACTGAATATAACATATTGGGGAAAAATAACACATAAAATATGCCCTGTGCAAAAGTTACGGCACATTTTATATTTCATGTTTTTCCAGTGTGGTGAAGCGTGTGTGTCGTTGTGCTGTTTTGCAGTACGCTGATTAATCCAGGGAATCATGTGAAGATGCAGGAGGGAACACTGGGCTTCTTCATCGCCAGTGATGCCAAAGAAGTGAAGAGGTACAGAGCACATTACGAAGAGACACATACAGTCCTGTGCAAAAGTTTGGGCACCCTCAGTCTAATGGCATGTTTTGCTGATTTTCTAAGTGAAAATTAGTAACACATGGTGTTTTAAAGAAATACTAGACATACTACATCTGTACACATCCTAACACACACAGCCTCCTAAAACACTGCACACCTGTGTGTCTGTGTGCGGTGAGCGATTGTAGATGAGAGAGAGAGACATATTTCAGTTAAGCATGGATGTTATTTGTGTCTCTTCAGGGCCCTTTACTACTGTAAAGCCTGCCACGATGACATCACAGATCCAAAAAGGATAAAGAAGTGCGGATGCAAACGCAGTGAGTTTTCGGACGTGCTGGTTCTGTTGACAGTGTGACTTTTATCACTGGTGTGAAGACGTCAGTATCTTATAAGATGTTCTACTGTCCCTTTGGAGTCATGTGACCTACAGCAGCAGTCAAAAGTTTGGACACACCATTTTCATTATCTTGAAGACATTTAGATTTAATGTAGTTATGTTATAACTGAAGTTTGAGGGGAGGAACACGCTTGAAACCCCATCCTTCTTCCAATCTAACACCCTATAAATTCACATCCTCACCTTCCGTTCCCATGATGAAGTGTTTGCACTCCCTACCACCGTCTTATATCAGTATTGATACAACTTTGAAGGGGTCTGGCCTTCTAGCTACAGGCAGAAGCTGCCCAGAACTCCAGCCCAAGTTCTCAAAGCTCTCCCCGTCCCTCAATCAGTCTTCTCTCATACTACCGCCACCATGTGGTCTGAAAGGCTTATTCTTAAACGTTTGAAGGACAAACACAGTCACTGTCCAGAAAAACCATGTATCTCCATTTTTGCTTTTTGCTGTTTTTTTTAATATACATATTTATATACATATAGGGCGGCACAATGGCGCAGTGGGTAGCGCTGTTGCCTCACAGCAAGAATGGCCTGGGTTCGATTCCCAGCCGGTCGGCCAGGGTCATTTCTGTGTGGAGTTTGCCTGTTCTCCCCGTGTCTGCGTGGGTTTCCTCCAGGTACTCCGGTTTCCTCCCACAGTCCAAAGACATGCAGTCAGGCTGACTGGACATGCTGAATTGCCCCTAGGTGTGAGTGAGTGTGTGACTGTGTATGTCTGTATGTCTGTCTGTCTGCCCTGCGATGAACTGGCGACCTGTCCAGGGTGTATCCTGCCTTCCGCCCAATGACAGCTGGGATAGGCTCCAGCACCCCACCGTGACCCAGAAGGATAAGCGGTTTAGATGATGGATGGATGGATGGATTTATATATATATATATATATATATATATATATATATATATATATATATATGTATATATATATATATATATATATATATATATATATATATTTATTTATTTATTTTTTTGTGTGGGGGGGCAACAAATAGTCAACCCACCTCACTTTACATATCTATTTAAAAGAGAATGTCAAGGCTTCAGTCATTTTCTGTTTAATGGACACAGTCACATCAACACATGATGGGTTTACATCATTTTGCATGTGTTTTTATAGTTTTGATGTCTTCACTGTCAATCTAAAATGAAGAAAATAGTAAAAATAAAGTAGCCCTTCTGTTAACAGGTGTGTCCAAACTTTTAACTGGTACTGTACACTGTCAGAAAAAAGGCAACTGTACAGGTATGGTTTAGTCCCTCAAAGTATAAAACTGTCCTTAAAAGGGAATTCCACTGATTTTTCATAATTTCTGCATAATTCAGTAACTAACGTAAACAAAATGTAAATGTAAAATGGTTTGAAATGGTTGATTAAAGAGACTCAGATGTCTTTACAGGGGTGGTGATAGGAACCAGGGGTCGTCATGACTACAACACAAATATAGACATTTTATTTACTATCCAGAACCACCACTGAACCTACACGAGTCTTCTGAGTTTATATGGAATGATGATGATGGAGACGAATAGTAGGAAATCTGAAAAAAAAATTCTTTGGGAATTTTCCATGTAGTAACTTCCTGTGAGGGAGCTTTTAGAGGTGGACGTCTGGTTCCTATCACCACCACTGTGAACAATTCTGACTCTAAGTTTCTCTAGAACAGAGCGTTTCACGCTAAACATATTTAAACCTTCTCATAACTTTTTTTAAATAGCAAAGTAAAATAAAAAACATGACGTTAAAACAAGATGCATGGAGTCAATGCAATTAAAAATATAATTTCAACAGAATATGGAAGTTATTCTTCATCTCTGTTTGTGTTTTTAGAAAAAAGAATTTAGTTACTTCTCTTCAAAAGGTTTATATTTTGCTGATGCTTTCGACATGTTGCTTCTTTCCTGCTGCTGTGGAAACGACTCTTTTCGTTTGTATCTGTAGTGATGTATTGTAAGTAAACTCTGGTTCTCTCCATGTTGTGAAGCAGATTGTTGATGTCCATGGTCGTTGCATGTGTCAGTGCGTTTACTGCATCCTCCTGCATCCTACCCACTTGCTGGCCTTCACCTTGCTGTTAACAGAAAGCACTGACACGCCTGAGGTGTTCTCACCTGCAGGCTGTAAAATAATATTGTCCCAGTGATTAAAAAAAAATACATTCAGTGTTGTTTTATCAGAATCACCTGCTGTACTGCCATCCTCCTCTTTTTAATTAATCAATCAACCTTTATTTAAACTCTTCGTTTTTTGAGGGAGAACCTCATTTACAGTGTAGCCAAGCCAATACAGAGATCAGGGATTGAGAAGTTAAATAGTAAAAATATAAAAATTGTTAACAAAAGTTATAATCATGGTGGTAAATAAAAAATAATTAAATCAATAAACCATGAAAATTACAATATGGTAACTTAATAAATAACATGAAATAAGGATAAATAAAAAATATATTTAATGAAATAAGTAAAGAAATAAAAGATAACAATAGCTTGGCAATGCTAAAATAAATAAGAACAGAATAATAAAAATGAAACAATAACTGAAAACATACCAAAAATCACTTTGAGTTACCTAAAATCAAGTAAAACAGTTGCATGCTGATTGGAGGTGGTTAGAGAATAGAAGTTTAATTTCTCCCATTCTTGGAGCTTCTCCAAAACACACCACCAGAGGGCGTGCAAGTTCTTTTATGGATGGTGTCTAAACTCTTTGAACCTGGAAAAAATCAACAGCTGATGAATCTGTGCCACAGTGTTGTGCATGTCCTCAGTTTCATATGCGTGAAGCATAAAGGCTCTGAAAGCCCTGAGTTTGTTAAATGCGTCTGTATGAATGACAGAATGTCAGAGATCCTGTGACATTTGCTCTTGGCTGCTGAACACATCTTCCCATGTTCCATGTGTATTTTTTTGGGACTCCTCTGTTCATGTATGAGTAGTAAAGAAAACTCGCATAAACAGACAATTTCCAGCAAAGTCTGTGTAAAGCCTATGTAAAGGTGTACCTCAGGGCTCCATACTCAGTCTGTCTAGATTGCCCTGCTTAATTTCATAGTATTTTTCCCGACTGTTAGTCCACCATTTGTATATTTATTGTAAATAAATCTCAGAAAAAAAAAAACAGAATTGTGTCAATCACCAGAAAAAACTCTTCATCTCTCTAAAGGTGTACCTCAGGGCTCAGTACTCGGCCCTTTTAGATTGTCCTGCTTTGCTGTTTTCAGATGGAACAAGGTCCCTCCAGTTAACTTGCTCCTCTCTCCCCCTCTCCCCCTCCCAACTCCAGCTAAGAAGGCCGGCAGGCGCCGAATGCGTCTGGCATGTTGCTTAGATTGCGGACAGGCTGAACGAGGCTGCTTGTGCATGTCCCACAGTGATCGTAGTAACAGGGAGACTCCACCACCTCGTGCCTTTCCTCTCTCTCCCACCTCTCTTAGTGATAAAACGGCCACTTTACGCTCCTGTAAGTCCTTCCGCACCTCCCTCGCCCGCCGCACCTGTGCCCAGTGCTCATGTGTTAGTGCTTAGTGTGGCTAATTGGTGGTATACCTGCTTGTTGCATCTGCTTTTGCGATATAGTTGATGTTGACGCTGTAGCTGTGAGGTGCTTCTGCATGTTTTAAAGGAATTGTTTGGTGAACAATTAAATTTACATGATTTTCCACCTCAGATGAGACATGTTTGGTGTCAAAGTGTTGCTCAAAGTCAACAGTCACCCAAACCACTTACATAGATACATCCCAAAAATTCTCTCAAACCACATCCAGGTCCAATTGAGGTTGTAAAGACAAGTCACTGAGTGAGACGCAGCAAAACACCTTTGGAGCGACACTGAAACCAAATACATGCTTGACGAAATGAAGGGCTTTAAATATTCTTCATCTTCTAGACGATGTTTGTTCATATTTTCAGGTAAAGTGGGTCAATGTTTAAAAAAAAAAGCTGCGTCATGAAGTTTGAGTTTTGTTACATCACGTCGTCTTCTGTGAGTTTATTGGCTGGTTGTAAAGCAAAAATCTGATTACTGTCTGACTCATGTAGACCTGGAGTTTCCCCATTATCCGATTACTCAAAATGCGTTGGTCGGATTACTGACAAAATCTGATTTTCTGCAGTTATCGGATGCCATTTTATCATATTCTTTTTTTTTCTAAATGAGTCTGTGTAGCCTATTGACATGATTTGAAGCAAATGCATAAAAAAAATTTGGCATGTTTTTGTGGAAAAGGTTTGGGTGACTATTGACTTCAAGTGTTTAGTACAGTTAGCAACATTAGCCTCGTAGCTCCAGTGCTAAAACTAAAGAAGCAAAACTTGGATGACAAATTTGTGACAGTCTGGAGAGGCCATGAGGTAGTTATAATTTTCTGGATTGTTATCTTAAGATAATGAGTTAATTATCTTGTTATCTTAAGATAACAAAGTTATTATCTTGAAATAACGAGTTAATTACCTTGTTATCTCGAGATAACAATAGTTGCTATCATGAGATAATCAGTTATCTTGATATCTCGAGATAACAGTTATCTTGAAATAACAAGTTAATTATCTTATCTTGAGACAAAAGTTGTTATCTTGAGATAACAAGTTAATTATCTTGTTATCTTGAGATAAGAAAGTTGTTACCTTGAAATAACAAGTTAATTATCTTGTTATTTCAAGGTATCTCGAGGTAACAAAGTTGGTGTCTAGAGATAATGAGTTTATTGTCTTGTGATCTCAAGATAACAACTTTGTTATCTTGAGGTCACAAGATAATTAACTCATTATCTCGAGATAACAATCCAGAAAATTAACGCAACAGCTCATGGCCTCTCCAGACTTCCATACAAACACCTCAGCTGAACGACTGCATTTATTGGAGGGTAGAAAACCATGTAGGTTAGATTTTACGCCGATCAGCTCCAATAAACTCGTCTTCTGATGTTGAAAATCATTACAGTCTTGCCATTTCGCCTGTGGCAGGTCTCACTGATTGACCCTGACTTTGTTTGCTTTGGTCTTAGAAGTTTAGTAACTTACTTTTCACAGTTACAATTACAGTCCAGAGTGATTCTTCAGTTTCTTAAGCAAAGAGCAGAACGCTAGCTAGTGTACTAATAAGGTTCCATCCTTGTGCTCTTCTTTTCATGTGTTTCTTTGCATCTCATTTCGATTAACAGCTGCTGCCTGTGTTCTCACTGCATCGTCCGTAACCACAGGTCTCCTTTATGAACGAGCCTTCTTTATTGGGTCTCCTCTGGGCCGTAATCCGACTGCCTCCATCACCTGCTTTATCTGCCCGTATTAATCACTTGTTCATCAGTTCATTGCAACATGTACCGCCCCTTAACTTCATGTTGTCTTTGCATTTTTCCCAGCTAAAAGTAACTATAACGGATATATCAAATCAAGTAAGTTTTCCTTTTTTCCTCCATTTGTTTCTTAACCTACAGTTGTGCTTTGTTTCCATCATTTTCCTTCTGCTCCAGCTTCCTTCATGTGGAAGCTTGGCTTATTTGTGTTATTCATTATTCCCTGCTGTCTCACTACTGTCCTCTTCACTGAAGAAGCTTTCAGATCATCGCTGTTTGGAACAAAAACCTTGTATCATATTTACAGGAGGAAAAAATTACAGTAATAATAACACAAATAAAGTAACACTTTATTTAAAGGCTGCCTGCATAGGGACCCTTATGACACATGCATAACACCACTGTCCAAAGAAAAACAAGTATCTCCAAAATAGTAACTTGACAGGAGGAGGCAAAAACACTCTTAGCTTTAAATGTAAGTTAAGGTAAAGAGGTTTTATTCCAAGTGATTTTAGAGCATTTCTATTGGTCCATTCATCAAGAAAACTTCACACAACGTAAAGGACGGCTGTTGTGTTGAAATGATGTAGAAAAATAAAAATCGACAAAAATGGAGATGCATGGTTTCCTTTGGACAGCGACGATAAGCAGTTTAAAAAGCCAAAACTTCAGTATCCATGAACAGTTAATGTCCACATTTGCAAGACGACGTCAGATGTTTATGAAGGAAATGACACTGTGTTGACCTGAGGGCCCTCAAACCAAAGTGAAGGGCATTTATTTTGGGTTCTGTTAAAGTTCTAGCAGTTCTATTAAATGTGTCCTCAAACTAAAGTGAGACAGTTTCAGATCAAAATCTTTAATAGAACTAACTAACTAGTTTTTCAGTTTTTGACATAATTTGAAAGTATCCATGCTCCTTTACATTGTTTGTAGATTTCATGATGAATGGACCAACAGAAATGACCCAGAATGACTTCGAAAAAAGTCTGGTTCCATTGACTTACATTAAAAGTAAAGTATGTTTTTTTCTTTTGACAACAGCGATATGTTGTTTTTTCATGGGCCTCTGACTTACATGTTCAATTACATGGGAACGGTGCCTTATAACAGTGTTATAAAACGTCCATCACTTTAGTTTAAGGACCCTTATGTCAGTATAATGTCATTTGCTTCATAAAACATCCTGTGTCATCTTGCAAATATGCAAGTATTCCATTTTAAATGTGTCTAAATACATCAATGCTTATGTGTGTTGTGAAATTCATATGTAGGCAGCCCTCAGATAACGCAGTGTTACGCTCTTAAAATGATGGTTCTTCACAGGTTCTTTAGCAAAGAAAATAGTTCTATATACAACCATGAACACCCAGAGGACCCTTTGCATGATTAAGGGGTGAACTATTGTAAAAGGGGTCTTCAGAATGATGAGGAATGTACTGTAGATGGTTCTATATGGCACCAAAAAGGTTCTGCTGTTGTTATGATTTCAAGCTTGTACCAATAAAAGAAGCCTTTTTGGTGGTACCTAGAGCCATTTTCAAAAAGGTGCTGTATAGAACCTTCTACATGAGGTGAAGAACCCTTTAATCATGCAAAAGGGTTCTTTAAGTGTTCATGGTTCTATATAGAACCATGTTCTTTACTAAAGAACCTTTGAAGAACCATCTTTTTTAAGTGCATACCAAATATTCTTAATTGTTAATATTCTTCATTTTTATTATTTTTTTATTCATTATAAAATTTTCACTCAGTGTAAGGGCAGCTTTTAAAATTCTGTAAAAATTAATAAAAATGGTAAAAATAAAGACGTAGGGTTTTGTCCAGACATTGATGGTATGAATATAAATAAACCTGGCACTGTAAATATAGTCACTAGGTTTATTATTTGAATGTGACTCTGATGTTTCCTAATCAAAAGAGTACAAATTTAGGAGATGTCTTAAGTCACAGTGTAGAAGTTTGTATAATAAATTTCAGCATCATTTTTGTGAAGTTTATTCTCTGCATGTTTTGTTTCTTTTTTCCCATTGACAATTTCTTGGATACGGACATTATTAGTATTACAACACAGCAGTTTAGGGAAGGATGCTGGAAACCTGGTGGGATTAGATGTAAAGCACATGTGTCAGGCTCCAGTCCTCACAGGCCGAAACACTGCAGACTTCAGCACAATGCCTCGTTAAACACACCAGATTTAGCTCATCAGCTAATTAGCAAGACCATGAACTGAATTCTGAGTGTTAGATGAGGGTAAACGCTGATCTCCGCAGCACTTTGGCCTGGAAGGTCCCCAGTTTGGCATGCCTGATTTAAAGGAAGCCTCTATTTTACATTAAAGGGCCCTCATCATGCAAAACTTCCTCATTTTTTAGAAATCAAAAATGTGGATGCAGAGTTTAAACATTGTTAAAGTTTGAAGACATACTGTTCACTCTCAAGCCCATATGGTCCACACAAGCAAATTAAACTGCAAAAACAGCCTGTTTTGAATTCAGTGCTTTTGTGGTATCATAAAAAAACAAGTAATTTACATATATTCACCTCTGCAGCCTACAGCAGTTTAGCCCCGCCCACTCACACTGAAGTTATAAGGAGTGTTTTAGCCAGGACTGCTTTCTGAATCAGGCACAGTATAGGGCAGCCAATCAGAACAGAGCTCATTTACATATATCAGTCTTAAAGGCACAGTAACAAAAACTGATTTGATTCTAAGGGATAAGGAGAGTTTGGAAAATGGTCATGTAGAAATGAACTATGACTGATTTTAGTACATGAACCCATACAGATGCTATAAGCGGATCTCAGGGGAAGAAATAAAATACCAGAAAATGTAGGATGTGGGCCCTTTAAAAAGGCTTTGATTGACTGTTTGCTTTATTCTGACAAGTTCCACTGTTGGACAAAGTTTCAGTTCAGTCCACCTGGTAGCATTTTAGTAGTACAAGTGACATTGTTGGCCACTTTATCAGAAACCCCATCTCCTGTAGCTCCTCCTTGCTTGTGTACAGATAGAGACAGAAGCTTAGTTGTTAACACACAGTTTGTGTTGGCCAGGCTCTAGTTCCTCATCAGTGGTCAGTTTCTGACTACAGAGCTGCTCTTGTCTGGATATTTTTGGATGGACAGTCCACTCTCAACCTAGCAGTGACAGTGATGTGTTTAAAACACTAGCACCACCGCTGATACACTCATACCAGCAATACACACACTAACGTGTCAGTGTCAGGGCTGAGCTGAGAATGGACCACCACCCACATAATATCTGGACAACAGCGGTCCTGTGGTCAGAAACTGACCACTGATGAATGGGGTAGAGGGGCCTATAAACTATGCAGCAACAGATGGACTACAGTCTGTAACTGAACACCTACATAGTAGAGCTTTGAGAGAGGTGTTTCTAATAAAGTGGCCAGTTAGTGGAAATAGAAGGTAGGTGTTTCTAATAAAGTGGCCAGTTAGTGGAAATAGAAGGTAGGTGTTTCTAATAAAGTGGCCAGTGAGTGAAAGTAGAAGGTAGGTGTTTCTAATAAAGTGACCAGTTAGTGGAAGGACAAGGTAGGTGTTTCTAATAAAGTGGCCAGTGAGTGGAAGCAGAAGGTAGGTGTTTCTAATAAAGTGGCCAGTGAGTGAAAGTACAAGGTAGGTGTTTCTAATAAAGTGGTCAGTTAGGGACAGTAGAAGGGAGGTGTTTCTAATAAAGTGAAGCAGAAGTTTCCCACTCCTGATCCTGAATGCTGGTTCCATTCTCTGGCAGTAAAGGATGAGATGAATCTGACCTGCCAGCTCCAGTCACAGAGCTGTAAACCCACCCTGTGCAGAGTTCACACAGTGAGGGCGCCCCCTGCTGGCCTGGAGCTGTGCTTGTCCGTGCCGTTGGTGAATAACCGTAAGGGCTGCCTGAGACTCAGTCTGCCCGGCTCCACAGAGCTGGCCCACGGCATGCTGGGTATTCCAGGCCCAGGCACTAATGCCAGTCGGCTACAGCGTGTGAACAGTCTGCCTGTTAAGCACAGAAATCACTGCAAACATGCCGACTCCTGCAGCCAGACGCTCTGTAAGACTCTGCATGGCTGTGAGTGAGTCTGTTCAGGCCTTTCACTAACAAGAGTGTCTTACACACGTGGAGTTTCCTCTAACAGCAAAAAAACAGTGCTTTGAGTTTACACTGTTTAAAAATGTCCCACATCCAAAATATATCACATCAATACAGTTATTATCTTTCATTTGAACTTTTAGCAATAACTGTATTGATGTAATTTAATATATTATATAATATAAAAATGTGGAACAAATGTGCACATTTCAGTAAAATGCACCAGTGTTCAAATGTTTGGAATTACTTGTCATAATTAATGTTATTTTATTCAATAATAACGTATACAGTATAGATAGAAATACTATAAGGTAGGCATAAGCTAGTTCAGGATGTTTTCATAGATCATGTTTCATGTTTAAGGTTGTTTATTTATATAAACAGCCACATATATGTATATATGTGTCGCTAATGTCGGCCCAAAACCTTGTATCTCCAAAATAGTAACTTTACAGGAGAAGGAAAAAACCTACTTTACTTTTAATGTAAGTCAATGGAACCAGTAATTTTGGGCCGTTTCTTTTGGTCCATTCATCTTGAAACTTACACACAATATAAAGGACAGTACGCATTTTCAAATTTTGTCAAAAACAGAAAAATGAAAAAAATGAGGTTTTGGTCTGACAGCAGTGATATATGTATATACATATATATTTCAAATATGAAGAATTTTGGATGTTTTACTGTAACTTCATTCTCAGAGCTTTACAGTTTTAATTCAATCTAAGTAGTGATGTAATTATACAATCATTTATCATGCATTCATATTATTAAAAACTGTGATCCCAAACTTTTCAATTGTGAGATTATGAACTTCTGAACAGTAATGTCCAATTAAAGCACCGTTTTCTGAGTGTAGTGTGAGTGTCGGTCTGGTTACAGTAACATACATGGAATTTTCTCCTACTGACCAGCTTCAGAATGAAGAATGACCAAAGCACCAAACACTTTCATAATGTTTTCTTACAGTTATTTTTATTTTTTTGTTGTTCTTTTTACAAAGAATCTTAGTTTTAATCCTGTGAGGCCCATCACTGTGCTGGCTAATTTGAGCACCTCATGGTTTGATTTTTTGTATTTTTGCACACTCTTAAAAATAAAGGTCCTTTAAAGGGTGTTGCTATTTAAACTCCTCTCCTGCAGCTCCTCCTTTCACAGTTAGAGATGGTAGCTCATCTGTAGATGCACCATTTGTGTTAATCATCCTCTAGTCCTTCATTAGTGGTCAGTTTCTGACCACATAGCCGCTCTTGTCTGGTTTTTTTTGGGTGTAAAAATTTCATCGTTCTTTGGAGTGATGTGACTGAAGAACCATCTTATTTTCCTAAAGAACCATTCAGTAGGTGCTTCAGTTAAAACCACTCAAATATATATTTGATTATTTCCATTCCAAAACTAGACCACTATATAGACCACTTTAAAGAAATTTGTCGAAACAAAACCTCGTATCTCCAAAATGGTAACTTTACAGGAGAAGGAAAAAACATGCTTTACTTTTAATGTAAGTCAATGGAACCAGACTTTTTTCCAAGCCATTTTGTGCCATTTATTTTGGTCCATTTATCATGAAATTTGCACACAATGTAAAGGACAGTATGCATTTTCAAATTATGTCAGAAACTGAAAAAGACAAAAATTTTGATGCGAGGTTTTGTTTTAACAGCAGAGATATATTTGATTATTGTAGACACACACATGCATATAACATAGGTGTAGGTTGTACACTGATCAGTGATGGGCCTTCCAGCGTTAATAGAATTTTAGTTGAGTTAATTGAGTGAAACTTGTTGCCTAACCATAGAAATTATCATAGGCAAAAGTTTGTGTCCCCCTGGTCAAATTCCATGTTGTAAATAAGTGTAAATAAGTAACACATCCTCTATAGTGAACACACTTCTGCACATTTTAATGCACAATTACTTTTTATTTACTGAATTTAACATATTGGAGAAAAAAATTAAGCACAAAATGTGTAAAAGTTACGGCACATTTTATGTAACATTTTTTCAGCAAATAACCGGTAATTGTGTATTAAAAGGTATTATAATATGCAGAAGTGTGTTCACTGTAGAGGGTGTGTTAACTTATTTCCACATAAACAATCAACATGTGATTCGACCAGGGGTGCTCAAACTTATGCATAACTGTATAAAGGACATCAGTGCTGATAGCTGATTGCGTTTGAGGTGTTTGGGTGTTCGGTGGTGTTAGTGTGTGGACTGGTGTGGTTAACCCCAGTTTGATTAACGTTTAGTGGACTACTGGTCAGGATCTGTCAGGTTTAACACATTTATTCATTCCATGTGTGTATCCCTCTCTTTACTGTCTCTCTCCTCTGTCTGTCTGTTCTGCTGCTGTGTTTGAGTGTTTTCTGCTGTGTTGTAATTAGCAGGTGATTCTAGTTGTTTTAGCCCAGATTAACGTGAGTGTTGTTGCAGTTGAAGAGGTGCACCAGTCCACTCTGTCCCCGAAGAAAAAACAACGCAATGGAGGAATGAGGACTTCACCCAACTGCTCCCCAAAAACAATGAGGTAAGAACACTGACCGTGTGTGTGCGTGTGTGTGTATTCATCTCCCTGTGGGGACCAAACCCTCCTAGTTTGATTAAAATATGAATATTTAATCTGCTGTCCATATATGCTCTCCATATATATATAGTACTAATACTACAGAATAGTAAAAGCGAGGGCGTGTGTTAACATCCAAGTAACATATATATATATATATATATTGCAGTTTTACTTTAGTAAATTCTTCAATTCCAAGCATAACACAGAATATCCTACTAGTGTTTTACCTAGCTGCTAATGTGGTTAGCCTTGTCTTATATAAGAAAATAAGTTTAAGTGAAACTTCAATCTAAGGTTACAATTATCAAATATTAACATTTTTAAATATTAAGTACTACTAAGTACTGTTAAGTACTATCTTGAATATTGTATAAAGATAAGATCTAAATTGTCACCTTAATTTAGAGCTCTAAAACAGAAATTAATAAGACATACTTATTATACATAACATACTTATACTTAATTTGAACTTATCACATTTCAAATATACAATGACTGGCCACTTCATTAAGTACATCTAACAGAATACCTAAAATTGGGTAAAAGTCCTGAAAACCTGTATTATTTATGAAAACAAAGATCAGATTAAAATACTGTCAGCCAATACTCAAAACTTCTGTCGAAGCATTCACTTCGGGGTTTTCATACATTATTTTTATGCAGCAAATCGTCCAGCAGTGTGATGATGCAATATATAAGCTTAAAACCTCAGGATTTGATTCCTACAAACCATTTTATGATCAGTTTTTTACAGCAGTAACGATCATATGATTTGCGACATCAGCACTGAATGAGCAGACGTTAGCAAAACTGTGTGTCCTCACCTTCAAAGCCTCACCGCCTCCACAGAGACACCATCATCCACAGCATGAGGTCTGATAACACGGCAAGAGTCCGAGATCAGTTTAGAGATCTGTGAGTCAGAAGGAAATAAACTCCTCCATTCTAGACTCTGTTACTCTGAGTCAGTAATTCAGACAGTTATTCTGATGGTAAGGAAAAAAACTTAAGGGTGTTTACTTTCAGATGAGACCATGATCATAACTGTAGCCCAGGGGTCGCAACCCAAACGTTGAGAAGAGCCACTTTGTCCTTTAAACAAAAATCAAACCACCTTGGGAGCCACAATATTTTATGTTCATTTTGCCATCTTGGCTGTATGTCTCAGTATGTGCTAAAGTACTAGTACAGACTAAAATTATAATGTAAATGAAAATGCAGACTCATTTGCTCTGCTTTAAGGTTTAGCTCAAATGTAGCTGCTTTTCTCGCATCTCCAGCAGGAAACTTTTCCTCAAAATTAGAACAGTTTCTTGTAAAATGCCTCTCAATGTTAGATTTTTTACGAGGCTGAAGTCGCTTCTCATTCTTCAGCTTCTTGTTTGAATTTTCCCGTTCCACCTTAAATGGTAGCTGAGTCACCAGAATGTAACTGCAGGGGAAATTGGAATGAAAAGCTGGCAAACAAAAAGCTGACTTTTTAGTTTTTGACTGTTTCTTCGTTGCTATGGTGACCAGCAGTCTGCGCTGATCTTCAGGGTTAAAGGGTGAATTAGCAGTTCTACATTAACTCCAGAGTTTAAGACCATTTATTGTTAAACTGTGTTGAACGATCAGCAGAGCTTTATTTTACTGTAAAGGAGGATTATTTTATTTTTACCTACAAATCTGATTCAGCTGTGGAGCCACAACAGGGCAGTAAAAGAGCCGCGTGTTGCTGACCCCCGGTGTAGCCCCAAGTATCTTTGAACAGCACTCCTTTTACTTTGGGTATGTTGTTTCAAAAATGGGGTGACAGTTTACAGGTTAAAGTACTCGAATCAGATCAGGGGGCATAAAATTGGATTGGCACATCCATAGTGTGAGTATATGTGAGAGAGAACTGATAGACTCTCTGCTGTGTAGCAGAAAGCTGCTCTAAAGGCCTAATGATGGAGTGATAGGAGTAATGGAGGATGAGCGTGAAGTTCATGCCCCGTTATGATGATGAATGAAATGAATGATGAACTGGAGGGAAATGCTCAGATATTCAGAGTCACCAGCTTCAGTGTTGCTGGCTTGTAAACGAAAAAGATCTGCAGTAATGCTGCTGGAATTCCTTCAGGATTCCTGCACTCTTAAAAAAAAGATGGTTCTTCAAGGGTTCTTTAGTAAAGACAGTGCTTCTATATAGAACCATGAACACTCAAAGAAACCATTTGCATGCTTAAATGGTTCTGTGCCTGGTGAAATGGTTCCTCAGATTGATGAAGAAAGTGCTGTATATGGTTCTGTATAACATCAAAATACCTTTTGTTATGATGTCAAGCTTGTAAGCAGACATCAAGCAGATACCTATAAAAGTAACTTTGATGTAATTAAAGAGGCACTAAATGATTCTGGAGAATGGGTGATGATATTTGAACTCAACAGCAAAACAAATATGTCCCTCCCTTCAGTGCTCCTTCAGAAGTTCCACCCCCCAAATTCACGGACACCTTTTAGATGTTTGTGGCCATGAGGTCTTTTGCAAATGTTGCATACACAAATACCGTGATATAATGTCAGAGCGAGGAACGACACAACAAGTCATGTAGCCATTAGCTAGGCTGTGAGTCAGCAAACTGTGGCTACAGTTGCTGCTGTGAAGCTAACCAGTTGCTATCACAAAGATTAGCAAACGGGACAAAACAATACTGACCTACTGGTTTTGTGAAGCAGCAAAAATAAGTTAATGTTGCCCACGTGTATAGCAGGTGCAGCCTCCTCATCCCTTTTCAGGTAATTCAACTTCAATTTGAATTTCAAATGAAGCTTAAGTCAGCTTCTTCTTCACCACCTTCTTGTTTGAATTTTCCCGTTCCACCTTAAATGGTGCGCACACAATGCTGTGTGGGCGGTCGCTGTCTAGGGAGGGCAAAACAAAAATGTGGGGAGGGTCGATGTGTTCACAGGGCGGGACTAACATGCACGTACAGAGCGGGTGTGACTTAATTCTCTGAGCATTATGCCATTATTCCACCAAGTCTTTTTTTTGTTTTTTTTTTGTTGCTATATTAATGTTTAAAATGTTGTATATAGAACCTTTACTTAAAATGTATTTGGTGTATAATACAACCCCAAAAGCAATAGCTGGATTACCACTCCACTGGTTCCACTGTATCTACATAACAACTGCACAGGAACCTTTCCTTTTTCTTCAAAGTGTAAGCTTTACATAGATATTTTGAAATATTTGTGCTATAACATGGTAACCTGACCAATTCACACAAATTAATACGGTAATACTTTACTGTAGGATGCTGTTCATAAGGCTACATGACACCTACACAAGCTTGTCATGACACCTGACATAACCCTACATAAATGTTTATAAATACTTATTCCAATTGGCATCATTCGCTATAAAGGTGGCGTTTGCCAATTTTCATCAAAGTTAGCTAAAGTAGCCTTTATGACAGATGACGCCTGTTGGAATAAGCATTCATAAACAGTTATGTAGGGTTATGTCAGTTGCCATTGCAAGCTTATGTAGGTGTCATGTAGTCTTATGAACAGCACCGTGCAGTAAAGTGTTACTATACCAGTTTCACAGTAACTACACAAAGACAGATCTAAGGGTAACTTGACACCTGGTATTGCTGTGTAAATAGGATTGTGATTGGTTTTAATCACTGCCAGATAGCTAGAAATGTTAAAAACAGTTGAAGCCAGTGAATTTTACACTTAGCCCATCAATCAGATGTTCTCTAAAAACCTTAATTACAAGAAACATTAGTTGATCTGCCCTAACAGTGTGGCCTCTCACATAAATATGTAATTATTGTAATTTGAAACTCTACATTTAGATGTTGTTGTGACGTGAAGTTTAAGCTACGTTCTACAGTTCTACTCATTACAGTTTCTGTTACTTAAAAAATTTTAACTTATCAAATTTTATGAAATATACACTGATCGGCTACTTCATTGAGTACACCTGCCTTATATCTACACTCATTGTCCTTTTTATCAGCTCCACTTACTATATAGGTGCACTTTGTAGTTCTACAGTTACAGACTGTAGTCCATCTGTTTCTCTGATACTTTGTTAGCCCCCTTTTACCCTGTTCTTCAGTGGTCAGGACCCCCATGGACCCTCACAGAGCAGGTACTATTTGGGTGGTGGATCATTCTCAGCACTGCAGTAGCACTGACGTGGTGGTGGTGTGTTAGTGTGTGTTGCGCTGGTACGAGTGGATCAGACACAGCAGTGCTGCTGGAGTTTTTAAATACTGTGTCCACTCACTGTCCACTCTATTAGACACTCCTACCTTGTCAGTCCACCTTGTAGATGTAAAGTCAGAGACGATAGCTCATCTGCTGCTGCACAGTTTGTGTGTGTGGAGTTTTTATGCCGAGCTGGGAAAGTTTTTTTTTTTCTGAAGCTTTTTTTTTAATCTTTGCAGGCACGACCCCCTCTTGATCCCCAGCCATGATCAGATGGAAACGATGGATGAGAATGTGAAGAAGTACGACTCCACAGGAATGTTCCACTGGTGTCCCTCTAAAGACATCGAGAAGGTCATACTGGTGAGTCCAGACAAAAGAGAGGTGGTCAAACTGGTACTCTAGGTCAACCTGTAGAAACCTGTTATTACAGTCAGTTTGCTGCACTATTTAAATGCAGTTATACAATGATGTAAACAATTGCATAAGCAACTGTGGACCACTGAGCGAGGACGAGAGCTTTCAGTCACGCTTCACTGTCTATTTCAGTCATTTCATGAACTTTTCACAGTTTTGACATACAGTCATGAACGTATCATCATATAGCTGTTTAATGGAGAAACCATCACCTTCTGGGTTTCTTTTCAGATCAGCACTGCAACGATGCTGCTAATGTCCTAGAGTGCCCTGATTTCCTGCTTTATGTCAGAACATTTGTTTTCCCACACTGGGTTTAATATTATTGATGGCAAATCCACCAATAACAGACATTTGAAATGTTCAAGTGTCACATTATTATATATTGCACTTCTACTTACTTTAGTAGATTCTTCAATTAAAAACATAATTTAGAATATCCTGCTAGCGTGCTTAGCCTAGTCTTGTTTAAGAAAATAAGTTTAAGCAAAAAGGTTACAATTATCAAATATTTAAATTTTTGAATATTGTATAAGGTTAAGATCTAAATTAATTAGAACAATTTAGAGCTCTAAAACAGAAACTGATAACATTATTCATTTCTGGGGGAAAAAGCATCAATAATGGTTATACACAATTAGAATATTCGTAATTTGAACTTATACACTGACCTTATATCTACACTCATTGTCCTTTTTATCAGCTCCACTGACCATATAGTTTCACTTTGTAGTTCTACAGTTACAGACTGTAGTCCATCACGACCATACTTAGTGACCCTCTTCTTCAATGGTCAGGACCCCCACAGGGCCCCCACAGAGCAGGTACTATTTGGGTGGTGGATCATTCTCAGCACTGCAGTAACACTGACGTGGTGGTGGTGTGTTAGTGTGTGTTGTGCTGGTCTTAGTGGATCAGACACAGCAGTGCTGCTGGAGTTTTTAAACACTGTGTCCACTCACTGTCCACTCTATTAGACACTCCTACCTTGTCAGTCCACCTTGTAGATGTAAAGTCAGAGACGATAGCTCATCTGCTGCTGCACAGTTTGTGTTGGTCATCCTCTAGTCCTTCATCAGTGGTCACAGGACGCTGCCCACAGGACGCTGTTGGCTGGATATTTTTGGTTCTCAGTCCAGCAGTGACACTGAGGTGTTTAAAAACTCCAGCAGCACTGCTGTGTCTGATCCACTCAGACCAGCGCAACACATACTAACACACCACCACCACGTCAGTGTTACTGCAGTGCTGAGAATGATCCACCACCCAAATAGTAGCTGCTCTGTGAGGGTCCATGGGGGTCCTGACCACTGAAGAACAGGGTAAAAGGGGGCTAACAAAGTATCAGAGAAACAGATGGACTACAGTCTGTAACTGTAGAACTACAAAGTGAGACTATATGGTCAGTGGAGCTGATAAAATGGACAGTGAGTGTAGAAAGTGGACCTAATAAGTGGCTGTATGTTCTTGTATATTCCCTGCTCTAATTGAAATTTCGCACTTATACTAACTGAGGTGCTTAATTTTTGTGTTTTCTTTTTTTCTCAGACTCGTAGTGAAGCAGCGATGACCGTGCTGAGTGGTCATGTGGTGGTGTGTATATTTGGGGACGTGAAGTCGGCCGTTGTTGGTCTGAGGAACCTGGTGATGCCTCTGAGGGCCAGCAACTTCCACTACCACGAGCTGAAGCCCATCGTATTCGTGGGCTCTTTGGAGTATCTGAAGAGGGAGTGGGAGACGCTCCACAACTTCCCCAAAGTCTCCATACTGCCTGTGAGTCTGCACTGGACAAGCTGCACGTCATAACTGTAATCAGATTTGAGGGTTATGAAGAGGCTAATGTGAGACTGTTCCCATTGTAAGCACCATTTCAATGCACTGCTTTAACTACTTAAGTCAGCTAGCTAACAGGCTACAAGATAGCAAACAGCCTAAACAACTCCATCATTAATATCACAGGCTTGAATTAAAGTACTTATGATATGATTCACTGTAAAAGATCAGTATAAAACACTAAAGAATGTCCCTTGAATGACTTACATGCTTCAAATGTTCGTGTTTCAGTCAGAAGTTGCGTCAAACCCAGGCTGAATCCCAAACAGCTCTGTATTCCCTAAATAGTGTTCTAGCTATGGAAGTTTAGAAATTCTAGCCTCTACAGACAAACAGTGGCTCATTTATCGAGTGTGGATGAGTCTGAGACCCAAATGACTGTTTCTTAGCTGTATTTTGCTCTGTTGGGCTGCAGGATCCAGTATTTAAACTTCTACGTAGTGCACTATGTAGGGAGCGGGGAGCCATTTGAGATTCAGCCCCAGTGTGAGAAGAGGGGTGCCGCTGGTTTGGTGCTAAATAAGACTCGGTTGGTAATTTGGTGACCAAAAAGTGCTTATAAAGCACAGTTCTCTGAAGGAACTACATACAGAATACTTGTTTATGTAGATAATTATTAATAATAAATCATTTTCTGAAAAGTTGTGTATTTTATCACAGTTTATGTTAGCCACTGTTTTATACGATAGCACCGTCGTATTGTTTTTCCCTTAAACAAACCTGATTAGGCTTTAATATGTAAAGTCATTGAAAACTGATAAAGACTACATACAAGCAGTGTACTGTAAATCACTCAGTGATGTAATAAAGCAATAAGCCACTTCAGGCCATGCGTTACAGTGATTTTATCACAGGGAAGGGAGAAACCCCATCCCCGTGATAAAATCGTAGTAACGCATGTGTTTACATGCACTTAATAATCCTGCAGAATAAAACTGCAGAAAATCTGATTTTGTCAGTAATCTGATCAACGTGTTTATATGCGCTTGAGTAATCAGATAATGGGGAACCTCTGGGTCTACATGAGTCAAGCAGTAATCAGATTTCTGCTTTACAACCTGCCAATAAACTCACAGAATAAGGCATGACATAAACGTAATGTAAAACTTAAACTTCATGCCGCAGCTTTTTTTTTTAAATTGAGCCAATTTACCTGAAAAAATTAACATACATCGTCAAGAAGATGAAGAATATTTAAATCCTTCATTTTGTCGAGAATGTATTTGGTTTCGTCGTCGCTCCAAAAGTGTCTCGCGGTGACGCTGCTCGCTTATTTTCTGGTACAGCAGTCTGTTCCACACATGCACAGACTAAGAAATATGAAAGAAATCAGAGTATTAACGGGCGACGGGCAGCTACAGATGTTGACAGTCGTCTAGCTTGCTAGCTTTTGGTTATGCAGAGTTAGCTTTAGCTCACTAAGTTTCTCTGACTCTGAAACTCTTACTTGTGGGTGGGGCCTGAGACATCTGCCCTATGATTGGTCAGGGGAATGCTTACGGAAGCGTTACCCAAGATTAGGACTGCCCAGTTTACACAGAGAGGGGAGAAATATGGTGAAATATATCGGTCATTTATCATTCATTGGAACACCATTCAAAGGGTCAACTCAGTACATGTTTACTGTTCACCTGCAAGAACAGGACTAACCTGATTAGAAAGAAAACACAGATGCAGCGTCCCTGGGTCTCTAATGTTCAGTAACTGCAGTATTTAAGCCCCTCGCCCCCATCAGTGTTTGACTGATGTTTGTATTTTTGTTTATTTGTTTGTTTGCATGTTTATGAAGGGCAGTCCTCTGAGCAGAGCAGATCTGAGGGCCGTCAACATCAACCTGTGTGACATGTGTGTGATCCTGTCGGCCAATCAGAACAACATAGACGACGCGTCTCTGCAGGATAAAGAGTGCATACTGGCCTCCCTCAACATCAAATCCATGCTTTTTGACGACAGCATAGGCCTCCTTCAGGCCAACTCACAGGGTACGGAGTTCGGAATTCACTGTTCAAAACTTTGGAATCAGTGTTTTCAATAATATAATATAGATTTAGTTGCAGGTGCTTTACTGTGGAAAGACAGCTCTGCATTTATTTCATTTCCAGTCAAAATGAACATTAAGTACACATTATTAATTTTTCAGTGTCAGGAAAAAAGCAGAAAACTCACTATTAAGATAAAATCACACAGAAACCTCAACAAATAAATCTAATCTCAGCTGTTCAGTGTTCAGTGAGTCACTCTTTACCTTTATTCCAGCTTCCATTCTGTTCAGGAGACTCACTTTCAGTTCCTCAGAGAATCTGCAGACACACCTCCAAAGTTCAGTCTTAGAAGCTGGTTGATCATTTTCTGAAGTGATCAAACACAGTCAGTGGTGTTGAGGTCTGGACTCTGGGGTGGTCAGTCCATTGTTCAGCTTCTTTGTTTGGTGTGTCCGTCTCCTTTTCTCAGTGAGGTTCTTCTTGATCAGCTACACATCCTTTCAGACCCACAGCGCTGAGTCGTCTTCTCACAGTGGAAGGATGGACAGAAACACCTGTGGATGTTTTCAGATCTGAAGCAGCTTGATTTTCTCCTCTCTCTCAGAGATGAAAGCTTTAAGTGCTGTTTATCTGATGGGGGCAGTTTTGGGGTCTGCCAGGTCTTCCAGGTGGTTGTTAGGGGTCACATTTTCTTTGTAGCTTTTAATCATTTTATATTGAATGTTACCTCCAGTTATTACCTGGAAACTCTATAACTTGTACTTAATGGCTGTTTTGACTTGAAATAAAATAAATGAAGCAGATCTTTTTTGCACGGTACTGTAAAAAATGATTATAATATGCTTGTCCAGTACAGTTTCACAGGTTTCAAATAATTAGGCAAGTAGGAAGTTGTACACTCTTAAAAAAGATGGTTCTTCAATGGTTCTTTAGCAAAGACAGTGGTTCTATATAGAAATATGAACACTCAGATAACCATTTGCATGCTTTGCATGGTGAAATGGTTCTTCAGATTGATGGAGAATGTGTTGTATAGGGTTTTGAAAATGAACCATATCACTGTTGTTGGAAAAAACCTTGTATCTCCAAAATGGTAATTTTACAGGAGAAGGAAAAAATCTACTTTACTTTTAATGTAAGTCTATGGAACCAGACTTTTTTCTAAGTCCTTTTAGGTCATTTCTTTTAGTCCATTCATCATGAAATTTACAAACAGTGTAAAGGACAACAGGTATTTGCAAATTATGTCAAAAACTGAAACATCAAAAATCGAGATACAAGGTTTTGTTCTGACAGCAGCGATACATTCTATTGTCACAATGTCAAGCTTGTATATAATAGCAGAACCCTTTTTGGTGCTATATAGGACCATTTTCAAAAGGTTCTATATAGAACCACGTGTAGGTAATTCTAAATATACATGTGTCTGTCTGTGTGTGCTCATGTGTATACGTATCGGTGTCCTTTTATATGCAGGCTTTACTCCTCCTGGAATGGATCGATCGTCTCCTGAGAACAGTCCTGTTCATGGCCTGGTCCGGCAGACCTCCGTCACGACAGGAGCAAACATCCCTATCATCACAGAGCTCGGTACACACATGTTAAATGTACTAAAATGCAGCTGTGCTTCACCTAACCCAGCCCTAACTTCTTCTTTTGGCTTCTTTTATTTCATGTAAAAGCTGCGTTTTTTTGTCCCCACAAACACTGAATGTTTATGTTTCCATCAAACTAGAAGAACTTAGTCCCCACAAAGAGATAAAAACATAGCTTAAACAGGATGGTCCACCAAGGTAAATGGTTTTGTATGCAAACATACGCAGATCAGGCATAACATTATGACCACCTCCTTGTTTCTGTGCTCATTGTCCATTTTATCAGCTCCACTTACTATATAGGTGCACTTTGTAGTTCTACAGTTACAGACTGTAGTCCATCTGTTTCTCTGGTACTTTGTTAGCCCCCTTTAACCCTGTTCTTCAGTGGTCAGGACCCCCATGGACCCTCACAGAGCAGGTACTATTTGGGTGGTGGATCATTCTGAGCACTGCAGTAACACTGACGTGGTGGTGGTGTGTTAGTGTGTGTTGTGCTGGTCTGAGTGGATCAGACACAGCAGTGCTGCTGGAGTTTTTAAACACTGTGTCCACTCACTGTCCACTCTATTAGACACTCCTACCTTGTCAGTCCACCTTGTAGATGTAAAGTCAGAGACGATAGCTCATCTGCTGCTGCACAGTTTATGTTGGTCATCCTCTAGTCCTTCATCAGTGGTCACAGGACACTGCCCACAGGACGCTGTTGGCTGGATATTTTTGGTTGGTGGACTATTCTCAGTCCAGCAGTGACACTGAGGTGTTTAAAAACTCCAGCACTGATCCACTCGCACCAGCGCAACACACACTAACACACCACCACCACGTCAGTGTTACTGCAGTGCTGAGAATGACCCACCACCCAAATAGTACCTGCTCTGCGAGGGTCCATGGGGGTCCTGACCACTGAAGAACAGGGTAAAAGGGGGCTAACAAAGTATCAGAGAAACAGATGGACTACAGTCTGTAACTGTAGAACTACAAAGTGCACCTATATAGTAAGTGGAGCTGATAAAATGGACAAGAGCATAGAAACAATGTTATGCCTGATTGGTGTATGTCTACGCACACATGCACTTCAGTGGCGTTGCCAGAATTTCATTTCATGGGGGGCCTGGTTCTAGCTTCGGGGGCCCAGCTAAGAGGAATTTTGTTCCCGAGGTATCGCTGTAGTGAGGCTGACAACCACTAACTACCCTGCTTTACTTTAGCTTCCGTAACCAGACATGAAAAAATAACGTTTTAAACACAACACATAATGGATGACCTCATATTTAACCACATAGTAGTATAGTATAACCACTGTGAGTAAAGGCTTATTAACCACAGTGCTACCTGTTACAGCACTAGGAGTAGATGTCTGGGGCGAATGGTTGAAGACTGTGATTTTATGGTCATTTTTGATAGTATTGAACTTTGTTTTTGTTTTCTTTACCACAGTCAGCATTGCTGCTTGCTTAGCTTGCTATAGTTATAATATAACCCACCAAACCTGCTCCTGGAAATCTACCTTGCTGCGTAATTCAGATTCAGCCTAAATTTTACTCTGATCCAGTTCATTAGATAAGCTGATGGTCTGGATCAGATGTGTTCAATCAGGGTTGCAAGTGAACTCTTCAAGAAGGTAGATGTCCAGGAGCAGGGTTAGTGACCACTTCTATAGCCGACATTAGGAACTAGCACAACTCAGCTAAGCTTCCACGATCTACAGAAAGTGTTGAGCAGGGTAGTGCTGTGTTTTTAAATAACAATCTTCTGCAAATTTTAATGCAATTACTTTTTATTTGATTAACTTAAACACTTAAAAAAAATAAAATTGTAATTTTGAAATATGCCAAAAACTGGACACCCAGTTGTAAAGTCTCAGAACTTAATCAACTCACTTGGCCTTAATTTACTTGTTAGGAATGTAATTAGGAATACTTAGCTGATGAATGTTACGAATTCTGACTCTTCAAACTTTGTGGTAACACCCAACAACCATGGGCTCCTCTATGCAGCTTGCCAACAAAATGGGAATGCTATAAAAGGATAGCAGAGCCCTTCCGGCTCGCAGTTTCTGCTGTCCAAAATGTCACTAAGGAATGACAGTAAAGGAGGACTGTGAAAGTCAAAGCAAGATCTGGAAGACCAAGGAAACTCTCAGATAGAACTGCCCAAATGCTGGCCAGAAAGGCAAAGCAAAACCCCCATATGACTGCAAAAGACCTGCAGGAAGGTTTAGCTGACATAAGAATATTGGTGCACAATTCTACTCTGCAGCATTGCTTCCAAGGTGTCTACAGAAGTGTCATCAGAAGGAAAACGTACCTGTAACCTTATAACAAAAGTTAACATCTCAATTACGCAAAACCGTATATAAACAAGCCAGAGACATTTTGGAAACAAGTGATGATGAAGTGAACCAATTAAGTAAAAACAGAACTCATTAAGGGAGCAGCATTTGATGAAAGAAACACCTTGCTAACTGTTAAGCATGGTAGTGGATCTGTTATGCTTTAGAGTTGTGTGGTAGCCAGTGGCACAGAAAACATAGATGGAAAAAAAATATTCCACTAAAAATAAAGGATGCTAAATATACCTTAAAATCCACCACGTGCTACTTCAAGAAACACAAGCTGAGGGTTTTGGACTGTCCCACACCATCCTCTGACTTAAACATCATTGAAAATTATTATTTTTATTTCATGCTACAGTTACTATTTTTTAGGATAATCAAATTTAAAGTCATTGTGCAGAAACATTTTATTTTTTCACTTCAGAAATCATCAAAATATGTAATTTGGCCAGGAATAGACAAGTTTTTACATACAACTGTACAAGCCCATATACACATACACACATATACATTCAAACACAAACACTTACTGGGGTATCTCCTTGCCCCTTTTGCAGAGCTGCAGTGTGTGAGTGTGAGTGTGGGTGTGTGGGTGTACTAAGGTTGGTGCGTTTCTTGTCATTAGCTAAATCAGACAGGCTGCTGAACGCAGTGTGTGTGAGGCAAGACAAGAGCAGCGGGACGAACATCCCTATGATCACTGAGCTGGGTAAGACACCCTTCAAGTCAATAAGCCACTACTCTCGCTCTCTCGCAGACTCTTGCTTGCACTGCAGGATTTTATTTCCACTTCTTTATGAACTCTTGCTCCTTTTCCCTGTTGAAACTCCATATGTTAATGTTTGGTGCAAGGGTGGCCTTAGCAATATTTTATAGTAGGTGCTTTGAAGTAACTGAACTATCTAGAACAGGTGCTAATGTACAAATCATACTCATGTGAACCAGATTTGGGGGGAAAAAAAATCTGTCCTAACTTGTGAAGCAGATTACCCAGTACTGCTCATGATCAACTAATCAGTTTAGTTGATTCTGAACAATTTTCAGGCAAAATCAACAATGCATAAGCTGGTTTACAAGTCTCTTCCTATTCATTATCACTTTAGGAATTTTCATCAGTTTTTCATTATTGTTGTGATAGTTATTATAAAATATAAATTGGTCATTTCAATAATCTTAAAAATTCTGAGGACCATTTATGGCACAGTGATGGGATCAATACCTGGATCAGAAATTGAGACAAGGACAGGGTCAGATATTGAGACAAGGAGGATCAGAGACTATAACAAGGACAAGATCAGAAATTGAAACGGAGAGGATCAGAGATTGAGACAAGCACAGGGTTAGAGATTGAGACAAGAGCAGGATCAGAGACTGAGACAAGGACAGAATCAGAGATTGAAACAAGGAGGATCAGAGACTGAGAGACTGTGACAAGCACAGGATAATAGATTGAGACAAGTACAGGATCAGAGACTGAGACAAGCACAGGATCAGCGATTACAACAGAGAGCATCAGAGGTTGAGACAAGTACAGGGTCAGAGATTGAGACAAGGACAGGGTCAGAGATTGAGACAAGGACAGGGTCAGAGATTGATACAAGTACAGGGTCAGAGATTGAGACAAGGACAGGGTCAGAGATTGAGACAAGGACAGGGTCAGAGATTGATACAAGTGCAGGTTCAGGGATTGAGACAAGGACAGAGTCAGGGGTTGAGACAAGTACAGGGTCAGAGATTGACACAAGTACAGAGTCAGGGATTGAGACATGGAGGATCAGGGACTGAGACAAGCACAGGATCAGAGATTAAAACAGAGAGCATCAGAGGTTGAGACAAGTACAGGGTCAGAGATTGAGACATGGAGGATCAGAGATTGAGACAAGTACAGGGTCAGAGATTGAGACAAGTGCAGGGTCAGAGATTGAGACAAGTGCAGGGTCAGGGATTGAGACAAGGACAGTCAGAGATTGAGACAAGTACAGAGTTAGAGATTGAGACAAGAACAGGATCAGAGACTGAGACAAGCACAGGATCAGAGATTAAAACAGAGAGCATCAAAAATTGAGACAAGGACAGGGTCAGAGATTGAGACAAGTGCAGGTTCAGGGATTGAGACAAGGACAGAGTCAGAGATTAAGACAAGTACAGGGTCAGAGATTGAGACAAGTGCAGGTTCAGAGATCGAGACAAGTGCAGGTTCAGGGATTGAGACAAGGACAGAGTCAGAGATTAAGACAAGTACAGGGTCAGAGATTGAGACAAGTACAGGGTCAGAGATTGAGACAAGTGCAGGTTCAGAGATCGAGACAAGTGCAGGTTCAGGGATTGAAACAAGGAGGATCAGAGACTGAGAGACTGTGACAAGCACAGGATAATAGATTGAGACAAGTACAGGATCAGAGACTGAGACAAGCACAGGATCAGCGATTACAACAGAGAGCATCAGAGGTTGAGACAAGTACAGGGTCAGAGATTGAGACAAGGACAGGGTCAGAGATTGAGACAAGGACAGGGTCAGAGATTGAGACAAGTGCAGGGTCAGAGATTGAGACAAGTGCAGGGTCAGGGATTGAGACAAGGACAGTCAGAGATTGAGACAAGTACAGAGTTAGAGATTGAGACAAGAACAGGATCAGAGACTGAGACAAGCACAGGATCAGAGATTAAAACAGAGAGCATCAAAAATTGAGACAAGGACAGGGTCAGAGATTGAGACAAGTGCAGGTTCAGGGATTGAGACAAGGACAGAGTCAGAGATTAAGACAAGTACAGGGTCAGAGATTGAGACAAGTGCAGGTTCAGAGATCGAGACAAGTGCAGGTTCAGGGATTGAGACAAGGACAGAGTCAGAGATTAAGACAAGTACAGGGTCAGAGATTGAGACAAGTGCAGGTTCAGAGATCGAGACAAGTGCAGGTTCAGGGATTGAAACAAGGAGGATCAGAGACTGAGAGACTGTGACGAGCACAGGATAATAGATTGAGACAAGTACAGGATCAGAGACTGAGACAAGCACAGGATCAGCGATTACAACAGAGAGCATCAGAGGTTGAGACAAGTACAGGGTCAGAGATTGAGACAAGGACAGGGTCAGAGATTGAGACAAGGACAGGGTCAGAGATTGAGACAAGGACAGGGTCAGAGATTGATACAAGTGCAGGTTCAGGGATTGAGACAAGGACAGAGTCAGGGGTTGAGACAAGTACAGGGTCAGAGATTGACACAAGTACAGAGTCAGGGATTGAGACATGGAGGATCAGGGACTGAGACAAGCACAGGATCAGAGATTAAAACAGAGAGCATCAGAGGTTGAGACAAGTACAGGGTCAGAGATTGAGACATGGAGGATCAGAGATTGAGACAAGTACAGGGTCAGAGATTGAGACAAGTGCAGGGTCAGAGATTGAGACAAGTGCAGGGTCAGGGATTGAGACAAGGACAGTCAGAGATTGAGACAAGTACAGAGTTAGAGATTGAGACAAGAACAGGATCAGAGACTGAGACAAGCACAGGATCAGAGATTAAAACAGAGAGCATCAGAGATTGAGACAAGGACAGGGTCAGAGATTGAGACAAGTGCAGGTTCAGGGATTGAGACAAGGACAGAGTCAGGGGTTGAGACAAGTACAGGGTCAGAGATTGACACAAGTACAGAGTCAGAGATCGAGACAAGTGCAGGTTCAGGGATTGAGACAAGGACAGAGTCAGAGATTAAGACAAGTACAGGGTCAGAGATTGAGACAAGTGCAGGTTCAGAGATCGAGACAAGTGCAGGTTCAGGGATTGAGACAAGGACAGAGTCAGAGATTGAGACAAGTACAGGGTCAGAGATTGAGACAAGTGCAGGTTCAGGGATTGAGACAAGGACAGGGTCAGGGATTGAGACATGGAGGATCAGGGACTGAGACAAGGACAGGGTCAGAGATTGAGACAAGGACAGGATAAGAGATTGAAACAGGGAGGATGAGAGACTGAGACAAGGAAAGGGTCAGAGATTGAAATGGAGAATCAGAGACTGTGACACGGACAGGGTCAGAGATTAAGACAAGTACAGGGTCAGAGACTGAGACAAGGACAGGGTCAGAGATTGAGACAGGGAGGATCAGAGACTGAGACAAGGACAGGATAAGAGATTTTAAAAAGGATAGGATCAGAGATTGAGACAGGGATTGGATCAGAGTCCAAAACAGGTACCGTACAGACAAAGACCAGATCAGAGACCAACATGCAGATCGGATCAGAATCTGAGACAGGAATCAGCCTAGGGATCAAGACAAGGGCTAGATCAGCGATCAAGACAGGTACTGCATCAGGAATATAGATTGGGATCAAGACAAGGACTGGATCAAAGACTAAGGAACCAGATTACGGATGGAAATGGGGACCAAATCAGGGATTAAATGTCAAAGGGTGGGAATAGATCAGTTATCAGTACGGGAACTGCATCAAGGAATAGATCAGAGACCAGATCAGGGATCAAGACATGGACCAGATAAGAGATTGAAACACAGAATGGATTAAGGATTCAGGCAGGGGCTGGATTAGAGAATGAGTCAGGGATGGGATCAGAGTCCAAGACAGGGACTGACAGAGGCCAAGACTGGAGGAATAAACCATGTTTTCATCAAGAACTAAAACAGCATCTATGTAATGGACAAGAGACAAGAAATACACCGGCAACCATGACAGGACAAAATCAGAATCAAATGTATATACACAAAACGAGCAGCTAGGGGCATTTGGTCAGAAAAGCCTGAAATTTGGGGAGGCCAGATTCCATTCTTTCAAAATCCTTAAAGTAAAGGGAACTAAATTCTCCAGGATAATGGGAGAGCTGGAGATCTGTGGACAGTGGGGACAAAGCTTATTGACGCAACCGGAGTGTCATCTCAGGTGCAACACCACTGTCTTCTGTAACTTTGGAGATGTGGACAGATCTTTTTTAGTCAACTAATCACAGCTCTTAGACATAAATCATTTATTGTCAACATAAGCAGTCCTTCAACAGATACACAACAAGCTTATCCACAGCCCTCACAAGAGTCAAAAATAATGAAACTCCAAACACAAACATTTCACAAAGAGTATGGAAAGACTGTGATTTACAAAAACATAGTTTAGGCTAATTGGTGATTTTCCAAGAAATTGTTAATCTTGTCTAAAGTTCTATGAGAGACCTAAGCTTATTCCACCCCCTGGAACTCCCTTGGTGCTGCCAGTGGTTCGGTAGTTGCTTCTGTCTTCGTCTGAGCCATCTGTGTTTGGTTTCGTCATTTGACATGGCCTGCTGCTCTCGCATGCTGCTCTGGGCTTATTTAGCTGCTTCATCCACTGATGTGAGCCGGCATGCTGATTGCATTTTCATTGCTTTGCTGTGCCTTTGCTTTGAGAGGCGCTACTGTGGAGTGGAGGAAGATGTTGGACTGCTTGTATGTTGTGTGCTGCTTGTGTGTATGTGTGTTAATATTGTTCGTATATGTGAATTAATTGTGTGTGTGTGTCTGTGTGTGTTTTTTTTAGTGAATGATTCCAATGTCCAGTTTCTGGATCAAGATGATGATGATGATCCCAGACACAGAGCTGTACCTCACCCAGCCTTTCGCCTGCGGAACTGCCTTCGCTGTCAGCGTGCTCGACTCTCTCATGAGTGCGGTGAGTCGTTACACAGATACCTTTCGAATCATCCTCCTCGTTTATTATGCTTACTGGATGGAGGTTTGTTAGTGATTCCAGGAGTCAAACATCTACAGCATTAGTATGGGGAGCCCTGACAAGTTAGCAGTCCATGTTTGAAATTCAGGTACTGTGATGCTTTTTAAGCCTATTTTTAGTTGGGTTTTTAATAACAAAAACATACACTTTCATGAACTTGTGTATCTTAAATGCTCCTTTAATTCCATTATCTGTTTTTATGATCTTTTACTCAGTCTTTTTGATTTTTTTTTTATTAATTTGTATATAATAATACATTTACTTGCTTTTGTTGTACACACCCTTTTATTTATTGGTTTTACACTGTTTATTTACTTTTTATATAATTGTGGCATGTGCCCCTGCCCCGGGCCCTGTTGACAGGTGCGAGAACGAAGCCCCGCAAGGACGGCGGGGAGAGGAGAGCTGCCAGTGAGTGGAGGACGACACTCGAGTCCCGAGCCCCTCCTGGGCGCTGCTTACATTCCTGCAGTGAGGCCACTTAATTTGCCTCACATTCGACCCAAATGGCTGAACTGCAAACTTGGAGGCATGGCTTGGGACTTGTGCGCCGTCCCCCACTCACTTGCGGTTCTCCTCTCCTTGCCATTGTCGCAGGGCTTCGTCCTCACTTGGAGTTCAGGACCCACCTTCCTGCCGGCTCTCACGGCTGTCTTCGGGGCCTGGGCGCATGCCACTATCATATAAAACTGTGCTGTGATACATTTAATTTATTGAAGGTGCTGTATATATAAAGTTGTATGGTTTCTCTCTCTCTCTCTCTCTCTCTCTCAGACTTACTTTAACGATAATATTCTCACGTTAATCCGGACGCTGGTTACGGGAGGAGCCACCCCAGAGTTGGAGGGTTTATTAGCAGAAGAAAATGCTTTACGTGGCGGCTACAGCACCCCCCAGACGCTGGCCAACAGAGACAGATGCCGTGTGGCACAGTTGGCTCTCTACGATGGGCCATTTGCTGACCTTGGGGTGAGAGAGAACTGGAGTGGAGCCCGGCAGAAACGTCAATGTTTCATCTACCGAATCTCATAGAGCAACTGTGTGTCCATTAAGGATGGGAATGGCTATTCAGGGGCACAGAAATGAGATGGTGGTTGGGGAATATAAGATATACCGCACATATATGCTCATACAAAGGTCTTCAATTACATGAAGAGTCAAGCAAGGCTTACATTTTTTTTAAGGACAGAGCAAAAAACACTTGTTCTGTACCTGCATACATGCTAATAATGTTAGCACTACCTAACTAACTAGCTAACACAAGTTACCAAGCTTCTGGTGGACTTAGTGTTGATGTAATAGTGCTTGGTGACTTTATCCTCACCTGGGAGAGTAATCACTGAATTGTCTTTCTGTAAGTCTGACGTTTTCTCAAAAACATAAGCTTCAGGTGCAAATGTTAGCAAGGACAGAGGAGAATTTGCAATTAAGGACAGAAACAGCATGAGCTCAGATAAACAAACAATACTCATCGCCAGCCTCTAAAGATGATATTACATCTATTAAAAGTTAGATTTGTTAATTACGCAAGAACAATGGCAGGTCTCAAAGTAATGTTTTCTACTTTTTTAATGAATTTATATTTTAGAGTTAAATTTGGGAGGCACTAAATCAGTTAACATTGGGGTGACACATCTTTAATTACACCTCTGTACAAACACAATCCAATTTTGTAACAAAAAATGTGTAATTTGGTACTTTTCTGCTAAATAACTATATTTGTTTGTTGTCTTGATTTACAGGACGGTGGCTGCTATGGCGATTTATTCTGTAAGGCGTTAAAAACATACAACATGCTGTGCTTCGGGATATACCGGTTAAGAGATGCTCACCTGAGCTCGCCGAGCCAGTGCACCAAGCGGTGAGTTCCCCCCAGATAGCTCTGAATTTTTAGGGAACACATCCTACTCGGCATAAGTGATATCTTAGGGTTTCAGTCACGTGATTTTTCTGTTGTGGCCGCCATATTTGAGACCGGATTTCTGGCTTAACTGCTCTGCATGAACATAACTAGAGATGAAAGATGGATAAAATTACTCTCCTTACTTTGGAAGAGAAAAACGTGACCTCGACAAAGTCAATAAAATACGCTGTGATCCTTATACAGTTTCCCTCAGAACTCCTGGTCCCATTTGAACTGGCTGAAAAGCTACCAAATTTGTGTTTTCCTGACATTTATATTGATCTCATACTCAGCCCCTCTCCCTATTCTGGAGAGTCTCTCACAGCATTTAAAAGCACAGAAGCCCACCGGCTCATCACGTCAGGGTGGGTAAAGGATCCCATGATGTTGCGTAATGAGGAGAAAAACTCTGTTAACGACATCAGCTAATTAACACAGATGAGATCAATGCTGGCCTTTAGATAACTTTAGCTGATGTTATCAGCCGAGAGATAAACAGTCGCCCCCTAACGGAGCTGCAGACCGCCGGTATAACTTTACTCTCTGTTTCTGGAGATTTAAATGATGTTTGAATGGAGAAACATAAACGTTAAATATCAGACTGAATGTCGTGGGTCGGAAAACGACGTCGTGTTTCGACAGACGTGATTCTGTAAGTTTGCTAGTGCAGTTAGTTCAGAGTTCAGCTCCAGTCCTGCGACCCCTGCCCTGCATAACTGTGGTTTCCCTGGTTAAAATACCTGATATTATTAGCTAATTAATCCCTCCTTGAGCTAAACAAGCAGGGGCTCCACGTCTGGAGTTTGAAAGCACTGAATTAAAGGTCTGTGTGTCTCTCGTCATTCTCGGCTTCTTTACCGTTTTCCTTTTTTTTTCTTTTATTCTTTACGGTTTTATTCTATGGTTTTTACATCCAACTGCACAGCAAACTGAAGGCATCACGCTGATTCAGTCCTCAAAATGGTGGCAACTATACAGTGTGATGTAGTGAGTGAGTCAGTGAGAATAGCCAAAAATCTTATTACAGTATACAGGTGGGTGAAACATGAAAGGAAAACCTGAATAAATGAGAAACGTAACATAGCGAGCGCAGATGCTTCCAGACAGGTTTACTGCACAATTATGCGGTTAGCATCTTACCATGCTCTGTGGCATGTATAAAAATGCTGAGCAGGATGAGTTCTCCTCTCCCCGCCATCCTCGCGGGGCTTCGTCCTCGCTCTGAGTTCCGGCACCGCCTTCCTGCCGGATCAGTACCAGTTAACCTCGGCTTTAGATCATGATTGCAAGAGGAAAAGATCTAAGTGACTTTGAAAGAGGGTTCATTGTTCACAGAGGGCACAAGCTCATCTTGCGACAACTGAATTTAGATCTATAGGAAAGACATCAGTACAAAGTGTTGAAAAAGTCTTGTAGAATACATTCAGTGAGCGTGATACTTGTGCATTAGTGTGACATGTAAGGAAAATCAGAAGAACACCTGTTCCTCAGGTGTCTGAGGTGACCAGTGCAGGACATGTTTGGACTGTGTGAGCATAAATAGTTTGTCCACCACTACATGGAGGGGGATATAAAAGTAAAGCTGAAGCATAAAATCCTCATTTAAAAAAAGACAGATGACCATTTGAGAGCTCAGTGGATTAAAGATCAGCACCGGTCATGTAGAAAAAAGTGAGATGGTCAGAAGAGTCATCCATCACTATGTTCTTCATAAGTGGGTGAAAACATGTGCCGTACACCAAGAGAACAGGACAGGTCTCTGGAATAACATAGCAACTACCTGGAATACCATAGAAAACACCTAGCAACACCCTAGCGACCACCTGGAATACAATATGACAACTACTTAGCATCAACATAGCAGCCGCCTAGGATAACATAGGAACCATTGAGCAACACCCTAGCAACCACCTGGAATACTATATGACAACTACTTAGCATAAACCTAGTAACCAACTGGGATAACAAAGGAACCATTTAGCAACAACATGCTCTGTTATCTTCATCACTACTTTCCAAAACCGCTGCAGCAGCTTCAGCAGCTGTAAACTCTCTGCACGCCATTTCATTTGTGTTTCCAATGGGGACTGAATGAAGAATGAAGGGTTTCTGGCGTGATGGTCAGTGCTTAGTGATTTCCTGAGTGTCCATTGGTCAGTTTCACACAGAATGTAGACGGACACACGAATCCACCAGTTCCACACGGTGAGAGGCAGATGACGTGTATCTCAGCCCCTCTTCATAGGCTCATAACTCCAGATGTGAGTCTCGTATGATCTCGTGATAAGATGGAGTGGAAAGGGCGACTCTACAGATTCAGGAAGTGTTTGAACTGGATTTCTGCACTGGATTATCACAACAGATAACATCCCCTTGGAATTATAGGGTTCTGTCTGACATGTTTGTCAAAATTGAGATATTCACATGTTCTGTGACAACTTATTAACATTATGATAGGTGTTTTTAAGTTGTGTGCATTTTTGGACTCTTTATCCAAGAAATCAAAAGGTTCTATCTTCAAAGCTGAATTCTAACTTAGTTCTATAAGGTTCTATCTGTGAGCCAATCAGCACTTCGAATACATGCAAGAAGACCAATCAGGTGCTTCTTTGTCATGTTGCCGCTTTGCTCAGTGACTTTATGAAACATGAAAACATGTTGCTGAAACTCTGTCTTCTTACAAGTCTTTAAAACGTCTTATTGTCTGAAATTTTATAAATATTAAGCCTTAAAGGTAATTAAATAGTAAAGATTTGAATTGATGGTGTCTCAATTACAAGAAGTTTTGATGCATTAGAGTCACCTTTCTGACATAAAATCTCACACTGCCTTTAGACTGACCTGCTACACTTACTTGCTGGGACAGTTTATTGCAGTAGCTGGTTGCTGTTTAACCTACAGGTAACTTAAACTAATGTTCCTACCTAAAATTGACCTCTGGACAAAATATTTAGCACTGACCTTTATACTTAATCTGCAGTCATCATCATCATCTTTAACCGCTTAGTCCAGGTAGGGTCACGGTAGCAGTTGGGAGAGCAGAGAATCCCAGATGACCCTGCCCCCAGCAACTTACTCCAGCTCATTCCAGGGGAACCCGAGCCGCTCCTAGGCCAACTTGGACGACCCTCCACCGGTAGGCGTCTAGGGGGCGTCCTGGTCAGATGCCCTCAACTGGCTCCTCTCAATGTGGAGGGGTAGCGGCTCTACTCCAAGCTCCTCCCGGATGATTCGAGCTCCTCACCCTGTCAGTAGAGTGTAGCCCAGCACCCTGTGAAGAAAGCTTGTTTCCGTACCAAGAGCCAATTTTCTGCTGCAGGGGTCCAAGGACCTCCCTGCCATCTCCCACTACAATGGTCCCCCATGCTGGACCTTGTGGGTGGTGGGCCTACATGGTCCCCCCACGTTCTCTTTTCGGGCTGACCCCGGCCGGGTTATGTGGGCTGCCCGGCCCCCAGGCGCTTGCAGAGGAACTCTAACCCCAGGCCTGGCTCCAGGGGTAGGTTTCGATTACCCTCTCCTGGGCAGGGTACACGTGTCCCTTAGTCATGGAGGATTATTGGACAGAGTTAGTCTGGGTCTTTGCTCCAGACCTGTTCGCCTTGGAAGACCTCACCAGGAGCATATTGCTCCAGACGACTTGGCTCTGAAGATCCCTAGACCACACAAGCCCTTCCGCCATGGCAAGGCCCCAATCCAGGAAGGGTTAATCTGCCTACATAACCAGTGCTCTTTTAAATAAGATAAATATGTGTTGGCCTAAAACATGAAATGTCATAAACAATAAGGAAAAATCTAAATAAATGTCATAAAAAGTATAATTGTAACTTAAATCTGATACGTTTAGGGTGTCTGTCAACAAGGACTTGGAATGCAAAATCTTTGTATCTCAGTATCTCAGATCTGCTCAGAACGCAAATAGAACCTTAGAACTCCAAGTGGACGAAAAACAAACATTGCATTTGATGCATGGGCCAGTTCTGGACCCCTGAGGGTTAATCATTCAGTACACATACATGTATTCATATATGTGGGTATCTCTCTCTCTGTCTCTCTCTCTCTCTCTCTCTCAGGTACGTCATCACCAACCCTCCCTATGACTTTGAGCTGGTGCCCACAGACCTGATCTTCTGTCTGATGCAGTTTGACCACAACGCTGGTCAGTCTCGGGCCACTCTCTCCCACTCGTCCCACTCCTCTCACTCCTCCAGTAAGAAAAGCTCGTCTGTCCATTCGGTCAGCACCAGCACCCGCGCCGGCCGCAGCAAGAGCCGAGAGCCGCGAGACAAGCAGAAGTACGTTCCACTGTAACGCCCTGAAGACCTGTCACTATTCCTGTACCTCTCTCTATCGTCTCTCTCTCTCTGTATATCTCTCTCTTTTCTCTTCTGTCTTCCTCTCTGTCTCTTTCTTTTTCTGTTTCTCTTCTCTTTCTCTCTCTCTAGCTGGGTTTCCATTTAAATGTTTTGCAAATGATATGCGCATTTATAAAATTTCGGCAGAAAAAATGCGAATTAAATCATGTTTGCATCCACTACAGTTTCGCAAAGAAACTTCAGATGACGCAGGCTAACATGATTAGGGGCTGCACTCTGCAATGTCCTGCAGGTTTCTCAAACACTAGAGGGCACTCCTGAGTAAGTCCAAAATGAATGGGTTAATGTGGAGCTTTTGAGCAAAATCATATTTTTTATAAATTTATAAAAGCTGAAACATTTTTAATGTAAAAGAATTCATTCATTTCCTGAACACAGAACAGCATAAAACATTTTAACACTGCTGTTATATTTCTAAGAGCTTTTAAACTCGAGTTATAGGAGTTTAAAACAGCGCCTCATGTGCGTTCATGACGTCAGTGAGAGCAAACAGCCAATGAGCTGCTTCGCTCGCCAACCAATCAGCACTCAGTAGCAGTAATGTTAGCGTCCTGCTGCCCAAAACCCGTTTGCTGTAGAAAAAAATGAAACATACAGGTGAGTTTTCTTTGTTTTTTTTTAGTGAAACTAAACTTTTAGTGATTAGAAACTATTTTTTCGTTTTTAGCCGTTTAGCTCCATTTACTCCCATTCATTGAGGACTCACTCACGGCGCCCTCTGCTGTTTTGCAGTCCTGTTTTTGATATAACAGGGGAAACAGGAAGAGGCCAGACTCCTTATAAACCAGCTCTGGTTTAACTCAGTTTTAAGTAGAATTATCTTTACAGCCATTTGCCATCTTTTTATAGCCATGTTTGCAGCTCAGGGATGCCGGGCAGGACAAACAGTGGCCACCTAATGAGGGCCAAAATCTCTTTGCCACCTCGATGATGTCCACCTTGCATCCAGGAATCCGAACACACCAGACAATTCTGGGAGAACTTAGTACCGACCCATTCAGACGAGCTTTGGACTAGGCATTTCAGAATGTTGAAAACGTGTCATGTGACTTATGACTTGTTTATTCAAAAAACACTCTTCCGTCACCTTTTTCGCATTTTGGCTTTAGTGATATTCTAACTTTTCCATCTCATCCTAGCGTAAAAACCTTTTGCACAATTCAAAGATTTTTGAATTTCAGGCTTTTTTTGTGCATTTTCAAAATTTGCAAAAAATTTGGTGGATGAAAAACCCACTTCTGTCTCCCTCTCTCACTCTCTTCTCTGTCTCTCTCTTCTCTGTTTTTGTGTCTATCTCTCTGTTCTCTCTTACTCTCTCTCTGTCTTTGTCTCTTTCTGTCTCTCTCTCTCTCATCTCTCCTTCTCTGTCTCTCTCTGTCTTTGTCTCTTTCTGTCTCTCTCTGTCTCTCTCTCTCTCTCTCTCTCTCTCTCTCTCTCTCTCTCTGTGCCTGTGTGATGCGTCTGGCCTCGTGCTGCTGCTGGCTGTGTCTGTGAGCCGTGCGGTCAGTCTGCACGCTCTCCTGCAGCCGTGTGCCATTTGCATGTGACCTCAGAATGTCGCAGCGTCTCCGTCGCCGTCTGACGTGACTCATAACAGCGAACTTGAAACTCAGTCCGATTCAGCCATACACGCTTCACGCGTCCTCGGAAACACATCGTCACGCCCGCCCTCACGGCTCTGCCTGTCAAAACTCTTCTGTTTGTCTTCAGCCGCAGTTTACGTTTTAAAGAAAAGTGGTATTTTACTTTCTTCATTGGCGATGTCTTACCTGGTTTACCTGGAGTCTGTTTGGGGTCCCGTAGAAACGGAGATGAGATTTTTGCACTGAAACTGCACTTTAAGCACAAAGCATTACACCTGTCATCACGCCATCATATGTGTTTGTTACATCATACATTAATTGCCTTTTTTCTGTTCTGGGCAATAGCCTCATTCCTCCTTCTGTGGCTCTTTTCTTCCTGCATGGCAAATAAAACGGGGTTAGATAAACAACTACACTGGCTATAAGGTTAATCCACACCTCTCATACGAAAGATCACAGATTTCTATGGTAAAAGTCAAGCAAAAGCGTTTCAGTAATTCATGGTCCAGATGTTTTTTTAGTTTGTTTTTTTTTAACGTTTCTAAATTGCTGCATTAATGTTGCATTTAATTGAGCTGAAATTTAAACTGAGTATAAATAAAAATCTTAGAATAACGTAGCGTCCCAATAGGATTCTAGTAGTTTGTTAGCACTAAACTTTCGAATGTTCCATTCTACCTAAAACGGAGAATGCAAAAAATAGTCTTGTCAAGTGGAATGATCTTAAATCTAGTCACTATATCTAAAATTCTCCATTTTGAGATGGTTGTGCACTGATTAGAAGGTTATTTAGCTCATTTCTAGATATTATTTACTTGTTTAGGTACTTTCATTAAGTAAAATTCTCTCACTATACTGGCAGATTATTTTGTTGGTTTCACACACATTTCCTAAAACAAACACAATTATCTGCCAGTGTAGTGAGATTAACGTAACAAAATCACTTAAAACCAGCAAAATGTCTAGAAATAAGGAAAATAATCTAAAATTAAGCTCACAACTTTTCACAAGAGGGGAATTATTAGATTTATTGACTTTATTTAAGATAATTTTACTTGACAAGATACCATTTTTGCCGTGGGGCAGCAGTTACATTCTGGTGCATTTAGGTCAATCTAATAAGTCAGGACTTCTCTTCAGCTCCTAAAGTCCTAACCAATAGGAGTGATCGCTTAGCCATATCTATCTAGATATACAATGGGGAAAAACAACTCCTGATTGGCCAGTTTTCCACTGGATGCTTCAAGAATTTAACCTTTTTTCCATCCTGTGCTTAACAACGAAAGAGTAGTATTGTAATACTTAATAAAAATAATAAGAATATAAAAAAGCCTAAATCGTTAGGCGTTCTCTAAAGGCCTATAAGGCCCTGAGGGTTCTCCTCTATACAGGGCCTTATAGGCATATACAGCATGAGTATTGAATAACTTTAGAACTAAAAATCCATGTTCCAGGCATTTTTGACAGGTTATGTTCTCAAAAGAGAATAATCCCTACCTATTTTCTTAAACCTAATCCCACCCCAGTATTACTTCAGTGTTATATTTATACCCAGTTTAAATTTCAGCTCAGTCCTGTCCGATATCAGCATTCACTGAGCAACTGAACACGATAATTATTTTTATGGGCAAACTTAAAAAATTCATAACTGAAAAAAACATTTGGAGAACGCTTTTGAAATTTTGCATTGTCGCATAAATTAAATAGATGTTTTAGCTTGAATTTTTTCCTGGAAATCCGTGACTGACTTATCAGGCTCTGGGCCAAAAGGCTGGTGTTGAAAAAGCCTCATTTCTTTTATAGCGTACACTGTAGGTCTTCACCGGTGGGGTTACTGTACAGACCCTCATAATGGAGCAGTCAAAAGTTTGGACACGCCTGAGTGAATGTATGTCTTAAATACATTTTGATCTGAAGGCTTATGCTTAAATTCTGGAAATTAATTTCTGTTTATATGAATAAAAATAGTTGATGCCCATGTTTGAATTTATTTTAAATACAAAATTTACTAATTAAAAGTAGTTCATTGGTATTGGAAGTTCATGTAACAAGATTTTGGACAATTAATTTTGGACATATAAAGTCTTTTTTTGTTGTTTTTTTTTCTTTTGATGTTTTCAATTTATGCAAAAATATATATATACATATATATATATATATATATATATATGTATATATATATATATATATGTATACGACAATTCAAGCTACTCGAGAGAATGTCAGGACAATTCGTTATTTCATTTTCAATTTATTTAACACTTTTGGTAACTCCAAATGTGTTATTTCATAGTTTTGAGGAGGAAAATATTAAAAATAAAGAAAAACTCTTCTATTAGTAGTTGTGCCCAAACCTTTGGACTGCTGCTGTGTGTTCTCTCTCATGTGAAGGAAGCTGCTGACGTTTCAGTGCGTTTTTTTAAAGATCACTGCCTTCTGAGAGTGATTTATTCCTCAATCCCACAAACCCATCACATACTCAATTTCAGTGTTAATTCTGCCAGAAATGCTTCTTTCATGTTTACATGTATCACATTTTTTGCTGTCAGATTTGATGATTTGGTGATTTGATTGACTGATGATGAATAACTTTAAGGGTCTGTTATTGAATGTTTATACAATTATAGCCAATATAATCCGGTTTACCACCAAAATTATAGCTAATTTAATCTGTTTTACCAATAAAATTGTATATGTTCTGATTGTTTACCAATAAAATTGTGCATAATCTGGTTTACCAAAAAAATTGTAGCCAATCTGATCTGGATTACCACCAAAACTATAGCCAATTTAATCTGGTTTACCAATAAAATTATACGTAATCTGGTTTACCACCAAAATTGTAGCCAGTCTAATCTGGATTACCATCAAAACTATTGCCAATTTAATGTGGTTTACTAATAAAATTATATGTAATCTGGTTCACTAATAAAATTATATGTAATCTGGTTCACTAATAAAATTATATATAATCTCATTATTTACCACCAAAATTGTACATAATCTGGTTTACCACCAAAATTGTAGCCAATCTAATCTGGGTTACCACCAAAATTATAGCGAATTTAATCTGGTTTACCAGTAAATTTATATGTATCTGGTTCACTAATAAAATTGTATATAATCTGATTTACTGCCAAAAATGTATATAATCTGGTCTACCATCCAAATTATATATGGTTTGGTTTACTACCAAAATTGTAGCCAATTTTATCTGGTTTTACCACCAACTTTCGCACAGAAGATCAGTTGGACCCCTAAGATCAGACTCATGCATGTGTTCCTTTAGTCCAATCCCGTAATAAAACGCACACGTTCATTTTTTTAACAGTTGCTGAGCGAATATGGAGGTGTTTCTATGGTTAGTAAGTGGACTTTCAGATATTTCCCTCTGTCTTTTGTAAATTTCATTTTACCTTCATTATTCCAACGAAATTTTACTCTCATTCTCCTCATCGTCTAAAATGATTTCAGTATTTTAAAGGCTGTTTCGAGGCTGAAACGCTGATTAGCTGCCTTTGTTAGGTGGTACAAAGTAACACAAATAATGTTCTTGAGTATGCACAAGAATATCACTCACAAAGTGAACTGTTCAAACTGCTCACGCAATGAAATGTTACGCATGAAACATGTTTGCTTTCTTTGTTGAATTTTTGTTCATATTCATGTATTAGAATTCTTGGACCAAAGTACTGATTTTATGGATATTATAAAACGTGTAGAAAACCTTCCACATATTTACGATGAAATGGTATACTCTATATAATAAAAATAATCCTAATAAAAAAAATCTTTTTCTGTATTAAATACATGAGCAGGTTTTTACTTTACAACTTTTACACTTATTTCAGACGACTGATGTTTACTGTACTGTTTATTCACCTTGTTGAGTTCAGTGTCTGCTGCTGCTGGAACAAGAGCACTGAATCATTTATAGTTGTATAAAAATGAGGACACCAGTTTTACAACCTTAAAAGTGTCTATATTTCTAAATGTTGTTTCAGGTTTATAAATTTAAACATGTGCAGAATCCATAGACTGAAAATAGTCTGGTTGTTATACAAAGACATAAAATATTTTGTTTATTCTTTGTTTAATTCAAATTTGACATGGTAATTAATTTAGAAACCCTATTTTATGAGTAGAACCATCAACCTTTTTATATATTTAAAATATTTTAGCAGTATGCAGGTCATCTAAAAAACACTTGCAATAAAATTGTGTATAAACTGATTTACCACCAAAATTGTAGTGAATTTAATCTGGTTTATCAATAAATTCATGTGTAATCTTGTTTATCACCAAAATTGTATAATATCTGATTTACTGCCAGAATTGTATATAATCTGGTTTACCACCAATATTCTATATAAAATGGCTTACCAACAAAACTGTAGCCAATTTAATCTGGTTTACCACCAACTTTGATGAGGACCCTAGTTTTACACCCTTAAAAGTTGCTATATTGTTAAATGTTGTATGAGGTATGCAAATTTAAACATGTGCAGAATCCCTTGACTGAACATAGTCTGGATGTTATACAAAGACATGAAATATTTAGTTAAATTTGACACTGTAATTCATGTAGAAACCATATTTTTGAGTAAAACTGTCAACATTTTATATATTCAAAATATTTTAGCAGTACGCAGGTCACCTAAAAAACACTTTTAAAATTGTGTATAATCTGGTTTACCACCAAAATTACAACCCACATATAATCTGGTTTACCACCAAAATTACAGCCCACATATAATCTGGTTTACCACCAAAATTCTAGCAAATTTAATCTGGATTACCACCAAAATTGTAGTGAATTTAATCTGGTTTACCAATAATCTGTAATCTTGTTCATTACCAAAATTGATCACCAATAATATTAACCAATAATACCACCAGACAATGTGTAATCAGGAGCACTGCCACTCAGTAATGTCTTCGGGGTTTGTCAGTCGCTAGAGGGCGTTCCTGAGCATGCCCGAAATGAATGAATACGGTCCATTCAAAACCTGTTTGCTATTTACTTTGAAGACATCCTTCTGCGTTCTAAAATTAAATGTAGATTCTACGTGAACATCTAGAAACAAGTTTTTCCATTGTTAATCATTTAGGTAGATTCAGCTTTGTTCACTGAGGACTTGCTCGCAGGCGCCCTCTAGTGTTTTGCTGTCTTTTTTTAATGATGTGGCAATAGTTTCACCTCCCAGCCTCACCTATCATCACAGAGAGAAAACGTTCAGCTAGCTCAGAGACCCTCCCTGATACTGTCACACAGTAACCCAGAATGGGAAACTGGATTGAAGGTCTGGATTCGAAGACTAGAGTCCTGTCAATTTTATTTAATCATTTAAAGAGGAATTCCTCTGATTTTTCAACATTTCAGCACAGTTCTATTACTAAGATGTAAACAGGGTGGTTCAGAGTACTTTGGTGTGAAATGATTCAGAGTTCTTTACAGTGGTGGTGATAGGAACCAGGGGTTGCCATGACTACAACACAAATATAGACATTTTATTTACAATCCAAGACCACCAGTAAACCTACACGTGTCTTCTGAGATTTATGTGGAATGTTGGTGAGGATAAAATAGTGGAAAAAATAAGTCTGGGATTTAAAAAATGTTTTGGGCCAATTCTTAACCATTTAATGTAATAACTTTCAGTGAGGGAGCTTTTAGAGTCATTAAACTTGTCTGACGTCTGGTTCCTATCACCACCACTGTGAGCAGGTTTCTCTAGAACAGAGCATTTAACATCAGACCACTCTGAATGACTTTGTTTACATCTCAACCGTTTAATTATGCAGGGAAAAAAAAGTAGAATTTCCCTTTTTTGGTGAGAGTTTTGGTCCTGGAGTATCTGTGCATTTTACTGATTTCACTGCTCAAAATAACTCCTGCACCACTAAGGATCACAAACGTTTTAGCCTGTGTTCAGACTGCCAGCCCAAATCCGATTTTTGGCATAGTCTGAACAGCAAAAAAACATATGAAATCTGATTTTTGTGCTGGGAGTCAAGAGAAGCTCCAAAGATTCATGATTATTCCAGGGAATTCTGAAGAATTTGGAGGGCGAGATGATGGTCCTCCATCTCTGCGTTTGAAATCCGCATCACCAGCGTAGTTACGCAGTTACTGACGCCTACCTTGTTGCCGCGGCAACCCATGCGGATAGACTGGTGAAATTCGATCTGATCACATGCAAATAACAGAGTAGACAGTCGTCTCAAAAGATCAAGAGATTTGAGAAACAGTCCGCATTTGCCTGCAGTCTGAACGCAGCCTGAGCTCTTTTTAAAGCGCTTTCAAAGTGAACACTGGAAAGAAACCAGTTTCAGATCAGCACAAAGAGCCTGTTTACACCTTACAGTAACATGTGTTTGGTGTCTGGATTGCATCTGGATAAACTTGGACCAGATGTCCTTCACACTTTTTACTAAAATGTGTCCCCAGTTTATACAAAATGAGCTCCGGTTGTCCTTTTTCCCGCATAAAAGGGACGTCAACACAAACGTCATTTTGGTTTTACTCTTGTTTACTCTTTTCCTCGTTGCTACAGAAGTGAAAAAGTTTGGCCTGGACACATTCATCAGCCCGGAGTGCATGGCGGCTGCTGGTTTTATTGTATACAGATAATAAAAATGCATTCTGTTTACACTTGAGTTAAAAGATCCGTCTCAGATCACCTCTGAATGTGGTTTAAACTGATTGTAATCTGCTCACAGTGCGTCTTGGGGGTGTTTACACCTGG